ATGCTAAAGTTCCAGTAATTGACTTGTCTATCATTTTTTTTTTACAATATAGTGTAAGTTTTTTGTGTGTGTACTGGGGATTGAACTTACAACCTTGAGCTTGCCAGGCAGGTGCTTAGGCCACTGAGCTAAATCCCCGGCCCTGTCTATTGTGTTTTAAATTAAAATTGAAATAGCTTATTCACACCAGCTGCGTATCAAATGTCAATAGCCACATGAAGCTCTTACCTCTTGAAGTATACTATGTAGTTCTCTCCCTTTTTTTAAATGGTGTCTTGCTATGTCCTCAAACACTTGCAGCAATCCTCTTGCCTCAGCCTCCTGAGTGCTGAGATTACAGGCCTGTGTTACTACACCCAGCATTAAGTAGTTCTAATTGAGCTTCACATGAGGAAACCAGCGCATATGTGACAAGCTAGAACCAGAGCTGTTTCTAGGACCCAGCAACATTTCAGCCTTGCTCACCTCTCAATTTGTCTAAGCATCCATCTGTCAATTCGCTGTCCTCTAACATACACCTATTTTCTGCTAATCCTTGGGGCCAGGAAGTAATGTAGCTGAGAGCAAAACTGGCAGATCCCTATCCTCAGGAAAGAAGCCCCTCAGAAGCTACCACAATCCAGTGTGTGATTACTGTAGGGAAGATGTGGAGAGTGCAGAGACCGGTGTGGGACCAAAGTGGGTGGTGTAGGGAGGCGTGGTGGGTGGGGTAATGTGGGGGAGGGAGGCGTCTTAGGAGGATGTGCAGATGTCCACCTGAAGGAGCAGACTTTACTCAGCTGCTCTTGCAACAATGCTGTGAAAGAAAACAGCTCTAATCTCAGTAGCTACAGCAAGTTAGCACTTATTTTCATACCCCTGGGCTCCATCTGTCTGTAGTTTGATGAGTAAGCGTAAGGTGGGCCAGCCTGTGTGTTTTGCTTCAGGCTTAGGTCCACTCTGTGCTCCATTCTGAATCCAGGAAGAAGGGCACTGACTTGGTCTTACAATGACGCAGGTCACTGGAGCACAAAGGAGAGTCAGTCACACAGGTCATACGTATCATTAGCCTGAGTAAAGGAACACTGCTCCATGGAGGTGGGAGTGGGAGGTGTGAATACCCGTTCAATACCAATTTGATCTCTCGCTGACTAACAGGAGTCAGGTGGAAGGGAAGAGCACTCCAGGTGGAGAGGCCAGGTGAAAGGTCCTCAGGTAGGATATTCTATGGGGCTGCTGGAATCCAAGAGGTTTGTTTTTCCTTTCTTTTTGTTTATTGTGGTACTGGGGATCAAACCCAGGCCCTTTGCCCAGGCTGGTCCCCAGCTTATGATGATCTTGCCTCAGGCTCCCGAGTGCTGAAATTATAAGCATGTGTCACCATGCCTAGCCCCAGATGGATTTAAATTTGCAATCTTCTTGCTTCAGCTCCCACCAAGGGGTTTGTTTTCATCATCTTTACTGTGTAAGAAATCGTACTGGTCCAAGAATTCACAATCTTTTAGACAACTGCACAGCCCCCAAATCCTTTCCTCATTTGTTTCCATGACCTCTTCTCACCTCCATGCAATGCACAGCTGCTTGATAGTTAGGCAAAGACACAACTGGTTGTCCATGGTTATCCCCTGTAAGGAACAGAGCCTCCATGGGAGCCCAGCAACCTAATGTTGAAACAGTCAATGGCAAGACTGGTGTGTGGGTGGATCCCTGTTCTGCCATGCACTAGTTGGGTGAGCCTCAGCATGTGACTACTGTGTGTGTGTGTGTGTGTGTGTGTGTGTATACACACACACACTTTTTCTTTTTTGTACCAGGGATTGAACTCACAACACCTTGTACTTGCCATGCAGACATTTGTGCTGCTGACCTAAATCTCCGGCCATATATATACTACATATATATATATATTTTTTTTTTCTTTGAGACAGGGTCTCACTATGTAGTTAAGGCTGGAATTGAACTCACTATGTAACCCAGGCTGGCCTTGAACTCATGGTGATCCTCCTGTCTTAGCCTCCTGAGTGCTAGAATTACAGGTATGTGCCCCATGTCTGGCTTGTGTTGTTTTCTTACCTGTAAAATGAGCTAGTCATCTTATGAAGTTTTAAAGAGATTGCTTGGAAAAAAGGCCGTCAGGGCTCTCAGTCAGTGCCACACTAGTTCAGAGTGCTGGATCAGCTTTGCATCGTATTGTCAGAGGGCTTCTACCAACTTCCAGTCTCCCCACACAGGTGGTGTGGGTTGCTGAGAAATTCACACAGGAGCGTCCTTCAGCCAATGGCTGTTGGTGTAGAACCATCCCAGTTCCTTCCTCCCTTGAGAAATAATTATGAGGGTGTGTGTGTGTGTGTGTGTGTGTGTGTGTACATGTACTAGGAGTCTCCAGAGAAACAAACAATAGGAAATTGCATATTTGTATCTGTATCTATTTGCCTGTTTAGATTTTATAACAAAAATGCTATAAACTTTCTGGGCATGGAAGTGCATACCTATAGTCTCAGCTACCCAGTAGGCCAAGGCAGGAGGATCACTTGAGCCTAGGATCAGCCTGGGAAACACAGTAAGACCTTATCTCAAAAAAAAACAGATGCAGAAAAATAAATGGAGAGGCATACAAACAACAATAATTTGTTTCTCACAGTTTTAGAGACTGGGAAGTCTAAAATCATGAAACTGTTAGATTTCTTCTTCTTCTTTTTTTTGTTTTTTGTACCGGGAATTGAAATCAAGGCCTCGAGGTTGCTAGGCAGGCACTGCACTGCTGAGCTATATCCCTGACCCAAAGGCATTAGATTTAGAGTCTAGTGAGGTCCACTTTATGTTTCACAGATGGTGCCATTTTTATTCTGTTTTCATTTTTTTTGAGACAGGGTCTTGCTATGTAGTTTAGCCTGGCCTTGAACTCACAGTCATTCTCCTGCCTCAGCCTCACTGGGATTATAGGTGTGTCACTATGTCCAGCTGAGGTCTCTTGTATTGGGGTCCTAATTTCATTTCTGAGATTTCTACCCTCATGACTCAATCGCCTCCCAATCACCTCCTTATACCATTACTTGGAGGTTAGGATTTCAACATATGGATTTGAGAGGGACCCAAATATTTAGACCATAACAATATCTATATAATGAACTCTAAACTGTTACCTATTATAAGTAGTTGGCCACATGATTGTAGGAGCTAAGTTCCATGGTTTCCATCTGCAGATTGGATACTCAGGAAAGATGGTGGTATGAATTCCAGTCCAGATCTGAAGGACTGAGAACCAGGAACACCAGTGGTGTACCAGTCTGAGAGCACGAGAAGATGCATGTCATGGAGTTCAACCTTTCTTGAGAATTTTATTCTATTTGGGGCCTCAAGGGGATGGATGATGTCCATGCACATTGGAGAGGTTGATCTGCTTAACTGAGTCCACCAATCCAATATTTAGAGACACAACCAGAAAAAATGTTTCACCTGAAATCTTGGCACCCAGTGGCCTAGTCAAGTTGATGCACAAAAAATTAAATTGTAGTGTTTTACAGTATGTTCCAGACGTTCCTCAGCAGGATTAAGATCCAGATTCAGAAAACCAAAAGTGGATAGATGTGAGATATTTTGGAGTTAGGACTGGTAGACTGATTGTGGAGACTGAGGGAAGGAAAACAAAAATGATTTTCTTTTGGTCTTTTGAGACAGGATCTCACTATGCAATTCAGGATGGCCTTGAGCTTGTAGCTTGGGCTGGTATTAAACTTACAACAATCTTCCTGCCTCAGTATCCCAAGTTCTGGGGTTACAGATGTGTACCATCATATCCAGTTTAAAAAAGCAACTCTTTAAATTCTTTGGGTAGCTGAAAGGATGGGTGGGTTATTTGCTGACATGGGCCAGAATGGCAGAAACAAGTTTTCAGTCAAGATATTTGTGGAAAATGAAGAGTACTGTGTCAAATTAGAGATGGTCAGTAGACCATTTCACCTAAGGAGAGGTGGCAAACAAAGAACTGAAACTCCAGGGAAGGTCTAAAGTTCAGAGGTGCTTCTGGAAGCTACTAACCTGCTGAGCAGCACTGTTTAATAAAGAAGGCCATCCGGGCATGGTGGCGCACACCTGTAATCCCAGCACTTGGGAATCTGAGGCAGGAGGATCATTGCAAGTTCAAGACCACTTTGGGCTAGAGAGTGAGCTCAAGGCCAGCCTGAACTGTATAGCAAGACCCTGTCTCAAAAAGACCAAAAAAAAAAAAAAAAAAAAAAAGAAAGCAGGGCACAGTGGCCCAGGCCTCTAATCCAAGCATTTAGGATGGTTGATGCAGGAGGGATCAAAATTAGAAGCCAGCCAGGGCAATTTACTGAGACCCTGTCTCAAAAGAAAATTAGGAGCTGGGCCTCATGGCCAGGCCTGTAATTCCAACACTTGGGAGGCTTGTGGCAGGAGAATTACGTGAGTTCGAGGCCAGCCTGGGCTACATAGTGAGCTCAAGGGCAGTCTAAAGTACTAAGCAAGAGCATGTCTCAGGAGGAGGGAAAAAAAAAAAAAAAAAAAGAGAGAGACACCAGTCTAGGGTTCAACCTCCAGCAGTGCAAAACAAGACAAAACCGTCAAGCTACGTATGTGATTTAAAAAGCCGTAGAGGCTTTATTAGAAAAGAGACACATTAATTCAAATAATACATTTATTTGAACCAATAAATCTCAACTATTATTTGACATGTAATTAACATGAAGATTATTTATAAGCTATTTTACATTTTTTCATCGACAGCCTGTGTGTAGTTTACATTTAGAGCACATTCATTTCGCACCTACCACTTTCCAAGCGCTCAGCTGCCTCCTGCTGGCCAGTAGGCACCAGCACTGCTATCCGGCCTTCTCAAAGCCAGGAGGCCGGGTTCACCCGGACCATATAGATGAAGCACTTCCGGTGGGACGTCTCGGACGGAAGTCGTGAGTACGCTGCGGTTGACGGCTGAACAAGATCGGGGGTCAGGGTACCGAACTTTTGCTGTGGGACTCTGCAGCCCTCCCTTGTGGTGAGTGGCACTGGGGGCGGGGTTGGCCTGCGCAGCTGTCTGTGACCCGGCCGGGAGCAGAAGAACACACCGGGCCCCGAAAATGCGCCAGGCTCAAGCGGGAAGATGTCACTATGGCTCCAGCTCAAGACCTGGTGTCTGTCAGACTGTTGGGGTCTGTAGCTTAACCTCGCAGTTTACTCCTGTGTAACCTGGAGCAAGTCATCTCTCTCTGAGTTCTGGCTTCGTCATCTGTGAAGTGGGGATGATAGTAGAAGTTGAGTTGGCTTCACGGAACGGCTGTGAAGATTAAATGCAGTAATCATGGAAAGGCTTTGCGTCACACCTAAGTCATTGTAACCACTCAATAAAATCTACAGTCTGTTCCATGGTCATTGGCAACTGCCCAAATTAATTGGAGATGTATAGGGATTCTTACACAGTGCTATGCAAAAGTGTTTTATGCTTTCTTTTTCCTGAGGCAAGGTCACCTTGTGTAATTCAGGTTGGTCTTGAATTTGCAGCGATCCTCCTGCCTAAACCTCCTGAGTTGCCGGGATTACAGACATATACCACACCTGTTTTTTTTTTTTTTTTTTTTTTTTTTTTTTGGTCTTTTTGAGATAGGGTCTCGCTAAGCAATTCGGACTCACTTGAGCTCACTTTGTAGCCCAGGCTGATCTCGAACTCCAGCCTCAGCTTTTTTTTTTAAATGAAGCTGGGCCTTACTGTGTTGCCCAGACTGGCCTCGAACTCCTGAAGTGATCTTCCTACTTTATCTCGTGAGTAATAGTACAACTGTGCATACTATTGTGCCTTGCTTCAGGTAGTGCTAAGGATGCCAGGCATGGTGTGCATGGCTGTCTTTCTAGCACTGAGGAGGCTGAGACAGGCATATCACAGCAAGTTCGAGATCAGCCTGAGCTCCATTAGTGAGTTCAGGTTCAGCCTAGACTATGCAGGCCAGATAGGCCAGCCCTGCTTCAAAACAACAACAACAATAGAACAAAAGATAATATGAAGATTACTTTTTTATGCCTGTCTATAATTCTGGCACTCTGGGGAATTGAGGCTGGAGGATCACAAATTTGAGCCCAGTGTGGGAAACTTAACAATTTAGTGAGACCCTGTCTCAAACCAAAAATGGGGTGGGGTAGAGACTGGTAGTGTAGCTCATTGTAAAGGCCCTGGGTTCAGTCCCCAGTGCAGGGGTGGAGGATGGGGAAGAATACCTTCTTCATGGACTTTTGTGAAGCGTAAATGAGATAATGCACTTAACGTGCTCCGAGCAATAACTGCACATAGTGTTCATAAATATCCTTGATGTCTGTCATTCTTTTGCAGACTTTGGGCTGTTCAGTGCCATGCATTCTTTACAATGTGTCCTCCAAGTGCAAAGGTCTCTAAAATGGGGGCCGTTGGTCACTGTGTCCTCGTTGCTGCTGAGGACCTGCAGGGCACATAGCAGCCTTCCCAGCACTGCAAATCCCAGTAGAGAGAGGCAGGAGAATGGAATTCAGGATTTCAGCTCCAGGCTAGCCACTGGACCAACTTTTCAGCATTTTTTAAGAAGTGCTTCAGCTCCTCAAGAAAAGCCATCTTCTCCAGAAGCAGAGGATCCGCCTCCCTATCTGACAGAGGAAGAACTTCTAGGAAGACAGAGAAAAGGTTAGTTTTAGTTTTCTTATGCTTTTAGGCTTCCTGCCTTGCTCCTTTCCAGCATCCATGGACTGATTATTTAATTGTGCTTTTATTATGGACCCGATTTTAGAAATTCAACAGTGTGGGAAAGTTTCTTAGTTATGGAATCATCAATTTCTACGATTAACATTAGTGGAAAGAAACCCACAGGGCTGGGCTTAGGGTGTAGCTCAGTGATAGAATGCTTGCTTAGCATGTATGGCATCCTAGGTTCAATCTCTAGCACTGCAGAAAAAAAAATAAACTTCATAGTGTTAGTACACAGGAGTTGGGGGTAGTATTTCTGGGAGTTTTCTCTTTGGTTATTTTACTCTCAAAAACTTGGCTGAGTTTGGCAGTGCACACCTGTAATCCCAGCACTTAGGAGGCTAAGTAATGAGGATCACTGAGTTTGAGGCCAACCTGAGCTACCTAGGGAGTTCAAAGCCAGCCTGCACTACATATTGAGACCCTGTCTCAAAAAAGCCAAAAAAATCCCCCAAAGCCTCATGTGGTCATGAGGGGGGTGGGGGGAGGCGGGCTTTCGAAGGCAGCTGAGTCTAGTGTTTTGACTGGTTCATTGTCTAGTGCTTGGATTGGCAGTGAGAGCTGCACCCACCCAGGGGCTGGTAGTCAACATACAATACAAGGGAGGGAAGGAGGTGTGCTTCTCCCTGTTGCTCTTTTTCCTCCTGTCTCCTTTGATACCTGCCACTGCCATGAATGGCCGCCCCTGTGCCATGCCACCCTGTGTTGGAGCCAGCTAATTATGGACTGACACTTCCACAAACTGTGAGCTAAATAAACCTTTCCTTCTTTCATTTAGGGCATCAAGTATTTTGTCTCTGCAATGAGAGAAAAGTAACCAAGATAACCCCAAACAAACAAAAACAAAAACCTCAAATGTAAAACCTTGTAATTATTTAAAAAAAATTTTTTAAAAGCTTTTTGAGACAGGGTCTAACTGTGTGGTCCAGGCTGGCCTCTAATTTGCTGTGTAGTCCAGGCTTGCCTTGAACTTATAGCAGTCCTCCTGCCTTGACCTCCCAAGTGCTGGAATCACAGGTGAGCACCATCATGTCTGGCTAAAACATAACTTTTTTCTAATTTTTAGATTGTCTTAAGACTTAAAGCTGCCTTCATAATTGTTGCTGCAGAAATTTATTATTTATTCTTGAGAAAAGCTTTCTAAGGAACACAATATGATCAGTTCAAATAACTTAAGAAACTTTGAGGAATCATTAAAGACTTTTCTTCTTCCCTATTTCTAAGAAAAATTTCCTTTTAAAATTCTGTTTTTTATTTTTATTTTTTGTGAGTACTGGGAACCCAACTCAGGACTTTACCTTTGCCAGGCAGGTACTGTGCCACTGAGCTATATGCTCTAGCCCCACCCCCTTTATAATTCTTAAAGGTTTTTTTTGTGTGTTAGGAGAGTACTTGCCTATGCACAAGGCCCTGGGTTCAATCATGAGTGTCACCAAAGGAAAAAAACAGAAAAAGATTTCGTTGTGATCATATGGTACAAATTATTTTTATGCTGTTATTTTCATTTAATACTAGTCTTGGTACTTACAGTTTTTTTGAGACCAAATCTCACCGCATAGTCAAGGCTGACCTATAACTCACTATGTAGCTCAGGCTGACACTGAATTCTGGGCAGTCTTCCTGCTTCAGCCTTCTAAGTGCTAAGATTAGAGTTCTGTGCCTGACTGAATTTTTAAACATTGGTGCCAAAAAAAAATATCAGTGCAGAATATTACACTGTACTATAAGTATACCATATATTCCATAATGCTTTTTCAACTATTTCCCTATGGTTGGATATTAGATTTTTTTTTGGTTTTTAATATAGGGTCTCACTATGCAGAGACACGTTCAGGCTGGCCTTGAACTTGTGGTGATCCTCTTGCCTCAGCTTCCCAAGTGTTGGGATTACAGGTATGCTATATCATGCCTGGCATTACTTTTTATTTTTGAGATGGGGTCTCACTAAGTTGCTGGGCTCAAAGTTGTAGTCTTCCTGCCTCAGCCCCTTAGAATGTTGAGATAATAGGTGTGTACCACCACCACCACCATGATGTTATGATGTTTTCATTGTTTTAGACAAGCAAAGTGGGCCAAAGAAGGTTACATATATATATATATATATATATATATATATATATATACAGTTTCCTTTTTAAAAAACAATTTCCTTTTTGAAAGTGGGCCAAAGAAGGTTACATATATATATATATATACAGTTTCCTTTTTAAAAAACAATTTCCTTTTTGTTTTTTCGAGGCAAGGTGGCCTTGAACTCACTTTGTAGTCCAGGCTGACCTTGAACTTGCATCCACCTCCATGGCTGGTTGAAAGGCAGGATTTAAACATATGAATTTAAATTTATTTTTCCCTCAGGTAGATAAATAGTATCCGTAGTCCTTTCTTTTTATTTTCTCTTTATTACTAGAGACTGAACTCAAGGCCTTCACACCAAGATATACATTCTAAGCTCTGTTTTATTTTTTATTTTGAAACAAGTTCTCACTGTTCAGTCTCTCAGTTGCCCAGGCTGGGCTCAAACTTGCAATCTTTTTCCCTTTGTCTCCCAGAGTGCTGAAATTATAGGCGTCCACCGTATGTAGCTCCTTTTTTGTTTTTAGAACTGTATTCCCTTGATTCTTAGGACATGTTTTCTCTCATATTGTAAATCACATGGCTTATAATTAGCATATTTATATAATGCAGTCTGTCTTTTGTTCTGAAAGACTGCCATTAATTTGGGGTACACTTGATATTGATGGTGTTTTAGGATTGAAATAACAAGGCACTTACTGTATAACTGGTTGCCTCAACTGTTTTTGGGACTTTGGAATAGGAGAGCTTTTGAGACCTGTGGCATGGTGTTCTTACCCTGAAATCTGTCTTTCACTGCAGTCTACCTCGAGACCTACGGCTGCCAGATGAATGTGAATGACACAGAGATAGCCTGGTCCATCTTGCAGAAGAGTGGCTACCTTCGGACCAACAACGTCCAAGAGGTACATTGTACTTGTTTCCAGTTTCTCCGTGCGTCTGGGCCTGGGTTAGACTCTACATTTGTGCCAGGTCCTAGATTTGGGACAGGAACAGGCTGCTCAGAGCGTTCCCTCGAGTGACGGGTGTATCATGGGACTGACTGGGTGTACTTTCCTTTCAGCTGTCATTGAGACTTACTGTAAGACTTACCTTTAGGGAAGAACCTAAGATAAAAGTTGGTGTCAGGAGAGGAAATGGGGAGTTGGTGTATAACGTGGGGCAGATGAGAGAATTTGGAGGTAGCTGTTCATGACAGTGAATCTTTTTAGTGCCACAGAACTGTATACTTAAAAAGAATTAGGATGATAAGTTTTACATGTATTTTACCACAATCATTATGAAAAGGGCATTGCTGAGGGTGCTGATTCTGTGACTTCAAAGATGATAATTTTTCTTTTTTCTTTCTGTCCCTTCAGGCAGATGTGATTCTTCTTGTTACATGTTCTATCAGGTATGAATTTATTTTTTCCCTAGGGAGTGAATATATTTTACTTTCCCCCCACTTGGGATTGAACCCAGGGCCTTCACACTGCGCTACATCTCAAGCCATTTTAATTTTTTTAAATTTTGAGATAGGATATTCCTATGAAACTAAATTGCTCAGGCTGGGGGCTGGGGATTTAGCTCAGCGGCATAAGCACCTGCCTTGTAAGCAGGCAGTCGTGAGTTCGATCTCCGGTACCGATAAAAAGGAAAAAAGACAAAAAAAAAAAAAAAAAAAAAAAAAAAAAAAATTGCTCAGGCTGGGCTTGAATTTGGCCATCTTCCTGCCTCAGTTTCTCAGAGTGCTGGTATTTCAGCTGACACCACTGCATCTAACATCCCAGCATGGAGTGAACCTTTCTTATGTAATCACTTTGGAGCTAAAGCTCCTAGCTGGCTTGGTAATAGATAGTCAGTAATGCAACATCAGTAGCACTTGTAATTTTTCCACAGTGGTGATAGTTTTGATTTATCCTGTTGACATTTGCTAAGCAGGTACTGTGCATGAGGTTCCATGTGAACACTGAACATGCATTAACAAGTTTAACTCTCACAGCAACCTTATGCATTTGGTGCTTTTACAAAATCCATTGTATAGATGAGGAAATCAGAAGTATGCTCAGTCAACCAAGTTTTCCTGAGTTTTTTCTCACTACTGATGGCGTACCTTTATACTATAGTGATAATGGATAATGTAGTGAGAGTGTAGTCAGTGCCTGGGGTAGAATGTTCTGAACAGAGATGGGTGGCATCAGTCAGAGGTTTTTTTTTTTTTTTTGGTCTTTTTCTGTTTTATCGGTACCAGGGATCGAACTCATGACTGTCTGCTTGCAAGGCAGGCGCTTACGCCGCTGAGCCCAGCCCAGTCAGAAGTTTATCAGAAGTGAATATTTACCCTCTGTCTTGGTTACTTTTCTTGATGCTGAGAGAAAATACCTCACACCCAAAGTTATAGGAGGAAAAATTTATTTTGGCTCACAGATTATAGAGGTCAACTGGCACCAAGGCAGGGTAGCATGGCAAGGGGGCATTATAGAAGAGAGATAGTTCTTGGCAAAGCAGGATAGGCAGAAAACAACAAGCAGCAAGTGAGGAAGCAGCAAGTGAAGTGACAGATTCTTTCCGTCCCATTATCTTGTTTCCAGTTTATTTGCCTTAGGGCTGTTAGCAGTCACACCCTGGGAGAGACACCCTTAATTCTACCCAGAACTATACCAACCAGACTAATTGAGTAGTCACACACCCTTAATCCCAGCATCACATCCCCTAGATCCTGCCACCTTTGAAAAGCTCCACCTATGACCACATGAGGCTTTGGGGGATATCTAGACACAAACCATAACACCATCTTTTTTTCTGCGTACAAAGCATATCATTGTTAGTGTTTCCATAGCTGGCTATTCCATCGACTAATTAATTAATGCAGTTTTTTGTTTTGAGGACCTTTGTGCGTGACCCTAAGTTTGGGTGATTTGGCAGTGAATCCTCCCTCCATGGAGCCTGGCTTTAAGGAGTTTGATATGATATAGGAAATATATGGAAATAGGTCTAACATTGGCAAAAAATACTAGGTTAAAAAATAAACAGTAGCAGGGGATTTAGCTCAGTGGCTCTAGCACTTGTCTGATAAGTGCAAGGTCTGGAGTTTGATCCCTGATACAAAAAAACCAAAGCAAAGCAAAGCAAACCAGGCACACCAAACCCACCTCCCACCCCCAACAACAACAAAAAAAGCCAGTAAAAGCCAAATAGCTCAGTAAAGGGAAAATGTAGTTAAAATACAAGGACATGTGTTGGGAAGGAAAAACTGACAGACAGTTGTGCAAGGCTTTACAAAGATTTAAAAATTTTTTTTTGATCTTTGAGACAGTCTCATAAAGTTGCTTAGGTTCCTTAGGCTAGGTTTGAACTTTCAATCCTCTGAAGTAGATTTGTTTTGTTCTGTTTTATTTTTTGAGATACAGTCTTGGTTGTAGTTCAGACTGGCCTTGAGTTCACTATGGGGCCCAAGTTGCCCTCGAACTTGTGGCCATCTTCCTACCTCAACCTCCTGAGTGCTAGGATTACAGATGTGTCCCACCACACTTGGCTTCTGAAGCAGATTCTTTTTGAGTTTTGATAGAGTTGACAGGATATGGAAATGTGCAGGAAGGGTATCTGTTGTTGTAGGAAAAATGAATTGTAGCAAGTGGTTTTTCATTGGCCCCTGCCTACTTTCCCCATCTAAAGGTAAATGTCATTTAAAGGATTAAAGGCGGTTTTTATTGCCTTTTCATTGTCACATTTTCTTAAATTGCTCTGTAGTTTATTTTTGGCTCAGTTTTGCCTCTGTTGATCTTTGCAGGGAGAAGGCTGAGCAGACCATCTGGAATCGTTTACATCAGCTGAAAACCCTAAAGACAAAGAGGCTTCGCTCTCGGACGCCTTTGAGGATTGGGATTCTAGGTATCCGGTAATTTGCAGGTTTTGTCTATTTTGTGACTTGGGCTCCATGTGGCTTTCTGTGCTAGTTTCCTTTAGAGGTAGGATTCTAGGATGTGGAGAGCCTTGATACAACTCATGCAATATTTTTTTTTTCTGAGTCAGAGTCTCTTTATGTAGTGGAGGCTGGCCTTGGGCTTACTCGGGCTGACCTCAAACACACAGTGATCTTCCTGCCTGCGGCTCCTGGGGTGGTGTGCACTACTACGCCCACCTACTCCATACAATCCTATACTTAATATCAGAGGCTGTGAGATTAAATGGGCTAAAGGTCATACAAGGCTTTATGTAGTCCTGGAAGTAGCAGGTGGTGAGAAAGTAGTATGTCCTTCCTAGAGCCTGATGAAGCTCAGAGTGGTGGCGCAAAGTGATGAATAGGGTGGGGTGTTATAGTCTCTGCATAGTGAGTTCAAGGTCACATAGCAAGACCCTATCTCAAAAACAAAAACCAAAACCCAAACTGTGGTAAGGACAATAGGCTAAGGCTTGTTCGAAGATAGGAGGAATATATTTATTTTTGTGCCAGGAATTGAACTCATGACCTTGTGCTTGCCAGACAGGTACTATGCTGCTGCACTGTATCCCTGGCTTTGTTTTTTGTGGTACTGGCAATCAAACTGTTGACCTTGCGCTTGCCAGACAAGCGCTGTGCCACTGACCTATATCCCTGGTTCCCTAAATATAGAAGGAATATTTTAAAGAGGATTAATAGCAATAAGTCTTTTATTACAATAATTTTTCCAAGGCTTTTAAACATCTACTGTATTTTTTGATTACACCTCGTATCTATTAGAAATTTTTTTTTTAAATTTTATTTAAGGAGAAAAAAAAAGCAAAGAAAGGGTACAAGTTATACAGATTTACAGAAAAAAATAAGCAGTAGGAAATCACTAGTTAATGGATTACATATTGTCATCTTAGAAATAATTGTTCAAGTCACAAAATTAAAGCTTGTAAAGTGGACATTCCAACAATGATACTGCAAACAGTTCTGTTCAATGATCCAATAAAACTCAGTGATATTATTTTCTATCTTATACACTTAAATATACATGCAGTTATATCATTTAGAGCACTTTCTTTTCCTCTCTTTTGTACAATGACTATTACACATTTTGGGTTTCATTGCTCCCACGGTTCTTATTACTTTTTTGGAAGAGAGTAAAACCAAATGTGACATAACAGAACAGAGTTGGTCAAATCAAAAGGGTGGACATAATAGATGTAAAAACATAATACAAGGTGATCAACAATGGTTACCATAATGCCTCCCGCTATTTCTGATAGAATTGCCTATATCATCAGTTATAATAAAATTGAACAAAACAGTAAAGAACAAAACCGACAAAACCAAAACATTGGAGACATTGTAGGTCTTCAAAAGTAGATAAAAGTCAACGAGAATGGGCGTCATAATGAATCTCACTATCTTCACAGCTGTTGCCTAAACTTTCGAACCTGGTACTATCCAGCAAAACAGAATAGGGGAACATCAGTCAAAAACAAGATGGTGAGAGTAATACAGGGCTTTAAATCAAGATAATGGAAAGTCAAAGTGGGTTACTATAATATATCCTGCTATTTTTTATTTGTTTTTCCCTTAATTAAAAGGATAAAAATAAAAAAGTAAATAATGGAGTAGAGATTGAGATAAAAGAGGGCATAACAGCAAAACAGCACAGATCAAAACATAACCATTTAAGCAGAATAGTGTTTCATCACAAGATAATCCTGACATAAAAGTAGTTACCATATTGTCTCTTTCCTTGAAATCCTTGAGTACAACTTCGTATACTGTAGCATTAAATAGTTCAAAACAGTGTAAAACCATTTAAGAGAATGACAGCATTACAGGGTATTCAGAATCGACCAACAGAAAATGAACAATGGTTTCTGTATAATCTCCTTGTCTTTAAAAGTTTTTGCTTATACTATCCTATTAGAAATTTCAAAAATTTCAAGGATAAGCCAAGAGCTGGGCATGGTGGTGCACCACACCTGGCTATATAATATTTATGTTTTTGTGACTGGTTTATGTTACTTTGCATAATGTTCTAAGGTTTACATGCAGCATGTTAGATCATGTGCAAGAATTTTCTTCCTGGCTGATGTAGTAGCACAGGCTTGTAATCCTAGTACTTGGGAGGATATACAGGAGGATCACTGTGAGTTTGAGGCTAGGAAAGTGAGTCCAAGGCCAGTCTGAACTGTATAGTGAAACTGTCTCAAAAAGACAAAAAAAACCCAAAAAACCCAAACCAAAAAACCAGTTTCTTCCTTTGGAAGGCTAATACTCCATTTGATGTATATACTACATTTTGCCTATTCATTCATTTATTGATGAATTCAGATTATTTCGGATTATTTGATTACTGTGAATAATGTTGCTTGGTATAAACATGGCTGTACAATGAACATGGGTGTACATCCAAGAATATGTATTTATATTTTTTGAAATGTGCTTTTGTTATGTTGTTTTGAAATTTTGGGTTCAAAGGATCCTTATATTTTTGCCTCTCAAGTAGCTAGTGCCATACACTGACCCCAACAACAATTCTTTAAAAAAATTTTTTTTTTATATAAGGTCTCACTTAATAGTCCAGGCTAGACTTGACCTTGCTTTATAGCCTAGGATGCCTTGAACATGAAATCCTTGTGCCTCAGTTTCTTGACTGCAGAGATTATAGGTGTCTGCCATCATGCCTGGCTAATGATTTTCAATTGAGAGAAAAATGTGGTTGATATCTTGAAAGGCATTTGAGACATTTGGTGTGGTGTGCGAGCTGCAAACGTTAAACTCTTAGGGATGTTTCTGTGCATTGATCTTTTTTTTTTTTTTTTTTGATCTTTTTCGTTTTTATCGGTACCAGGGATCGAACTCATGCTTATGCCGCTGAGTTAAACCCCCAGCCCCTGTGCATTGATCTTTAATCCAAGGTAGAACTAATGTATGCTGAGAAGTAGCCCTGAAACCAAATGACTTTGGAAACTGGCGCCTGTTCCTTTCCCTCATAGGCTGCATGGCTGAGAGACTGAAGGAGGAGATTCTGAACAGGGAGAAACTGGTGGACCTCTTGGCTGGTCCGGATGCCTATCGGGATCTTCCTCGGTTGCTGGCTATTGCTGAGTCAGGACAACAAGCTGCCAATGTGCTGCTCTCCCTTGATGAGACCTATGCTGATGTCTTGCCAGTCCAGACGAGCCCCAGTGCCACTTCTGCCTTCGTGTGAGTCTCTGCTCAAAACTTGGGAGTGAGCCTCTGCTTTCCTTCTCACTTTAAAAATAACATGTAAAATTTTTTGTTTTTGGCATTAGTGTGTATGTGTATGCGTGTTGCACTAGGCATTTGACCAAGGGCCTTCACACTGAGCTACATCACCAGCCCTTTAAAACATTTGTTAATTTTGAGACAGGGTCTTGCTAGGGCCTTTAAATTGCCCAGGCTCAGCTTGAAATTTGATCCTTCTACTTTAGCCTCTCACATTGCTAGGATTGCAGGTGTGAGTCATATACCCGGCTAAATTAGTATATTATTTTTTTGCATTTAAAACGCAGGATGCCGGGCATGGTGGATAATGTCTGTAGTCCCAGAACTCAAGAGGCTAAGGCAGAAAGATTGCCTTGAGTTTGAGGTCACCCTGGGCTACATAAGCCAGTTTAAGGCCAGCCTGCACTACATAGTGAGACTCTGTCTCAAACAAACAAAAAAACAAACAAAAAAACTAAACTGGATGCGGTGGCACATATCTGTACTCCCAACACTTGGGAGGCTGAAACAAGAGGATCACTATGAGTTTGAGGCCAGCCTGGGCTACAAAGTGAGTTCAAGGCCAGCCTGAACCATATAGTGAAAACCTGCCTCAAAAACACCAAGAAAGAAAGAAAAAAAAACAAAAACAAACAAACAAAAAACCAGTAAAAAGGAACATGCGCACATGGTATGTTACAAAATACAGAATATAAAAAGTGATATAGTATTAGTCCCTCATATTCATCATCCTTAGTCCCTTAAGCTGCTTCTCAAAGGCAATTATGTCCATCATCTCTTGCATAATCCTTTCAGAAGTATTCCTTGCATATGCACTTCGTGTATCCATATTGGTGCTTACCGTGCTATTTTTCATAAATACTAGTCTTTTGTTTTATATTCATTTTTGACTTCAGAAAATGTCTTGGACTTTCTCTGAGAGTTTGTTTGGAGAATCTGCAAGGAAGTGCAGCTGCTTGTATATTCTGGACTGAGTAATGGTCCTCCTCTATCAGGGGTGCTTTTCCTCTTCGACCAAGTGTGCAGCTTCAAAAGGGAGGTATATGGAGCATTGACGGAGCATTGAGGGAGCATTGAAGGCTGGCCTAGCCAGCCAAATCAGCAATATCAACCCCACGATCAGTGGGGTGACAAATGTTGTAGCTAGATTGCCCTCACATCCATCTTGGGCTTTCCTGATAAAGCTTTTTTCTCCTGATCTTTTATTGTCTATTATATATTATTTTTTTGGGGGGGGGTTGGGCCTTTTTTTTTTTTTTTTCACGTCAGATGGGTAATGTGCCGAGGTTGTAACAAGGTTCAAAGGAGGCACATGTCATGCATGGAGCATAAGCACCCAATCATCACACTTATGAACCTGAGGATCCTTTGTTTTTTTTTTTTAAACTATTTTCTTTTTTGCTACTGGGAATTGAACTTGGCCTCATGCTTGCCAGGCAGGCGCTGTGCTGCTGAGCTGTATCCTCACCTCTGATCTTTTAAATTTAAAGGAAAATAAGTTATTCATACTTAATGAAGAATGTGGAAAAGATAGAAAACCATAAACCATAAAGAAACCATAAAGATAAGAGAACTGGGCATAATGGTACATGTGTGTAATCCCACTATTCTGGGAGACACAAGGAAGATTTAATGAGACCCTGTCCAAAAAAAAAATTGACTGGGAAGTAGCTTGGTGCAGAGGCCCTTGGTTCAATTCTTAGTACAGAATTTAAAAAAAAAAAAAAAAAGAGAGAAGAGCAAAGGATGAATTCCCTGTACCCCACCACCTAGTGATAAATACTATTACCATTTGGTGTATAGCATTCCTGTCCTTTTCCTTTGTGTTTATTCATGTGTGCTTTGTATGTGTTTTGAAAATTGGCTTTTACTGTACTTGGTTTTACAGTCTTTTCTTATTTAATGTGAATATTTCTTTTTAAAAAAATTTTTTTTTATCTTTTTCTTTTTTATCGATTCCAGGGATCAAACTCACAACCGCCTGCTTGCAAGGCAGGTGCTTATGCCGCTGAGCTAAATCCCCAGCCCCCAATGTGAATATTTCTTGCAGCGTGACATTTTTTATAACAAATTGGCAAATGTTCTACCATCATTTTTGAATAAAGTTTTATGTAACACAGCCCTGCCCATTCTTCTACATGTTTTCTATGGCTGCTTTTGCAACTGCAACAGCAGAGTTGAGTAATCATGACATAGTACTTCTAGTATTTACAGGTTTTTTTTTTTTTTTTTTTAAAAACTGAAGCAGTTGTTCATTTTAATACAATGTCATTCTGGTTTTGGACTGTTTAGTAAAAATCATAGCTGACATTTGTTTTAACAATTCTTCAGTTTACATTTTTGATATGTAGCTGTAATTAGTTCCTTAAGATAAATTGAGGTTCTTATATATAGGATACAAATAAAAGAGGGATTTAGTCAGGTGTGGTAGTACATACCTGTAGTTCCAGTATTCAGGAGTCTGAGGCAGGAGGATCACTGTGAGTTTGAGGCCAACCTGGCTACATAGTGAGTTTAAGGCCACACTGAACTACATAGCAAGACCCTGTCTCCAAAACTAACTCGTCCCCAAAAAGAGGAATTTAATTTAGTTACATAGCAGTTGGATCAATAGTATATGAAAAATGCTGAACCCTAAGTTTGAAATTCAAGGTTTCCCTCTCTTAAACACACACAAACACTGTGTAAGCTTTTTTGTTTTCTGTTTTTTTGAGGCAGGGTCTTGCTATGAGTCAGACTGTCTTGAATTCACTATATAGCCCAGGCTGACCTTGAACTCATGCTGATTCTCCTGCTTCCCTCTGCTGGGATTATAGGTGTGTACCACTATGCCTGGCCTATTTTTTTCTGGTCTAGAAGCATTTATTTATAATCTGGATTAGATATGAAAAATTTAAAAATACCCATAAAGACAGTAGAAAGTCCATTTGACTGACTCCTCTTCCCCCTCTTTCTAGTGTGCATAACTATGTGCCCTAGTTATGGTTTGATTTGTGTTCTGAGATTAGATGCTAGTGTCCTTTTTTGTTGTTGTTGTTCCTTTGTCAGTACTGGAGATTGAACCCAGAGGCTTTTGCATGGTTAGTAAGTGCTCTACCACTGAGCTAATCCCTAACCTCTTTTAAAATTATGATTTTGAGAGAAGGTCTCGTGAAGTTGCCCAGGTTAGCTTTGAATTTGTAATCCTTTTGCTTTAGTCTCCCAACTATTTAGAGTTACAGGTGTATGCCAACATGTCCATCTATATAGGAATTTTTAGATAAAAAGCACCTGCTTTAGTGGTTTATAAATGTCAGTTTGGTACAGTTTGATCATACAGACAAAAAGATTCAGAGCCAAAGAATAAGGTGGGAGCTGTGACCTGTTCCTTTGCAGGTGCTAGTGTTCCATGCTTCTATTACCCAAATTCTGGTACTTTCCTTCCCAGGTCAATCATGAGGGGATGCAACAACATGTGCAGCTACTGTATTGTTCCTTTCACACGTGGCCGGGAGAGGAGTCGGCCTGTTGCCTCCATTCTAGAGGAAGTGAGGAAGCTTTCTGACCAGGTAAAAAGCTCTCCAGGCTCTCTTTTACTAATAAGCATGTTTTGGAAGGATGAGGACAGCTCTTTAGTTTTACAAGCTGTGCTGTCTCTAAGTTGCACAAGTTTAGGAACATCCCTGCCTAGAAAGAAATGCTTGCATATAAATCTTTAATTTGCTGATCATAAATTATAGGCTGATCCAGTATGGCATTGCCTCGTAGGGAGCACAGGACAAAGGTGAGTTTAGAATCAGGTAACTAAGTATGAATTCTGGATCCACCCTTCTTTGCCGTGGCGCACTGCTATTTAACCATCTTTGAAACACAGTTTCTCTATCTGGGAAAAGAAGATAAAATAATACCTTTCTTGTTGAGTATTTGGAAAGCCTGAAGAAACGTTTTTAAGCTAGCTGGAACATGGGAGGTTTTCAGGGGATGACGTATTTGTCTGTCTATTCTGGGGGACCTTCCTGTGTCTTCTGTTCATTTTATCACGGAATCAGCTCAGTAGTTGCGGGCAGAGAACAGATAGGGGAGTGAGTTGGATCAGAGACCTGAGGTGAGACTTCTGCTTGTGTGCCTCCTGTGGGGACCCTCTCTCTCAGCCTTCCATCCCTAGCCCCAGGCCTGAATCATCTAATCCCGTAGAAGAGGAACTTAGGTGGGGATATGGCACTTCTCTTCCAGTGGGCTTTTCCTGTCTCCCTCCCTGTCTGACTCAGAAGTCGTGGGAACAGGTAAACTGGCCCCTGCCAGTTCTCAGTCAGCTGTTGGCCTTGTGTACGTGTTCTGCCCACTCTTTTCTCGTTTCCCTCTTATCCCCAGACAGTCGTGTCCCTGACTTGATCCCTGGTTTCTCACTGCTTACATAGTCTCTATACCTCACCTATGTAGGTGCTTCCTGGCCCAACACTGACTCCTTCCTTTTCCTTACCACGTCCCCACAGTACAAAACTATTTTGGGGTAAATACATTGAGATGGGGATGAAATCTTCCTAACATTTCTAGATTACTTGTTTATAAAGGGAGACTTTTAATAACATTGAAGTGAATCTTAGTAAATTCAATGCCGTAGAGTTGTGGAAAATTAAGATTCTGCTTGTGTTTTTTTTTTTTTTTTTTTTTTGGTACTGTGGATCGAACTTATGACCTTGTGCTTGCCAGGCAGGCACTTATTTTTTTTAAACTTTTTTTTTTTTTTTAAATTGGTACTGGGGATTGAACTCAGGACCATGCGCTTGCAAACAAGGCGCTTATTCCACTGAGCTAAATCCCCAGCCAGGCAGGCACTTGTGCCACTGGGCTAAACCCCTAGCTCTCTGCTTGTGTTTTAAAGGACTTGTTAATCACTAAATTTGGTGGTAAAGTAACTTAGGTATTAAATTTTTAGATTAAAGTTGCAAAAAAAAAATAGAATTCTATAATATTGTGTTTTTTTTTTTTTTTTGGTACCAAGGATCAAACTCATGACCTTGCGCTTGCCAGGCAGGCGCTTTTGCCACTGAGCTAAATCCCTGGCCCTATATTATTGTACCTTTAACAGAACAACAGAATGTCCTTTTTCAGTCAGACATTGGTTCAGTGTTATTGATTGACAATCTTCTAAATAGCTTTTTTTTGTGTGTGATGGGGTCCTGCTATGTAGCACAGGCCCTGCAACTCCTGATCCTTCTGCCTCAGACTTTTGAGTACCTGAGATTATAGGCATATATCCTTGTGCCCTAGTAAAGCAGTTTTTTCCCCCCAGGTATCTTTTTTATCCTTTTATATGACAGCATTTTTTTTTTCTTCAGTTCTGAAGATTGTCTTGAGTATGCTTAGTGATTTGTTTTTATATCTCTTTTTATATGTGCATTTTATTTAGTTTTATATTCTACTTTTTGAATAAAAAATAAACTTTTTGAATAATTTATTTTGTTATATTATTGTTATTATTTTGGTTTTTTTTGAGACAGGGTCTCACTCACTATGTAGCCCAGATTGCCTTGAACTTGCAGCAGTCCTCCTTCCTCAGCTTCCTGAGCACCAGGATTACAGTTGTACACCACCATGCCCAACAGGAAACACATACAAATGCATTTAAAAGTATGATGCCTGCAAAATATTCTTAGAAGGCTTAAAAAAAGAAAGTATAAAGCTGGACATGGTAGTGCTTGCCTATAATTCCAGCACTCAGCAGAATAAGGCAGGAGGATTACTGCAAGTTCAAGGTCAGCCTGCACTACATAGTCAGTTCAGGGCCAGCCTGTACTATGCAGTGAGAACCTATTTCAGAAACAAAAAAATACCAAAAAAACCCCCCCCAAAATATGTGTATGTAAATGGTAAACAAATGGGCAAAGTGTTAAAAACTGAATCTGTGCAAAGGGTATATGAGAATTCTTTTACTGTTGCACTTTTTTATGTGTTTGAAATTATGTCAGAATAAAGCTACAAGGCCAGGAGTGTAGGCCCATCCCAGTAATCCTGGCACTGGAGAAGCTGAGGCAAGAGAATCAATACAAGTTCAAGGCCAGCCTGAACTATATAACAAGATCTTGTCTCAAACAAAATGAAAACACCAAAAAACAAAAAAAACTCACAAAATAAAGTCATAAAAATAGTTTTTGTGGCTACCATGATTTTTCCTTTATAAAATTTTATAATTCAATTCAATCATATAAATGGAAAGACTAGTGTAATGAATATGGTTGTTTAAATTTTGTCATATTTTCTTTATTCCTCTATTTTCATTTTTTTTTTTGGTACTAGGGATCGAACTAATGACCCCATGCTTACCAGGCAGGCGCTTATGCTGCTGAGCTAAATCCCCAGCATTCCTCTTATTTTCAAGTATTTCTCTCTCTCTCTCTCTTTCTTTTTTTTTTTTTTTTTGGTACCAGGGATTGAACATAGGCATGTGCTACCACACCTGGCTTCAGTGTTTTTTTTTAATTTTTAATTTTTTGTCTTTTTGAGACTAAGTCTCACTATACAGTTCACGTTGGCCTTGAACTGCAAATGATCTTTCTGCCTCAGCCTTCTCAGTACAGGAGTACAGACATGCACCATCATACCTGGCTCTGAGTTGTTTTTTTTTTAATGGAACAATTTTTTTTTTGGTGGTACGGGGGATTGAACTGAGGTCCTTGTGCATGTTAGACAACTGTTCTGCCACTGAATCATGTTCCTGATCTCCTAAATAGTGGTTTTTTGTTTTGCTTTGTTTTTTGTTTTTGGTGCTGGGGTTCAAACTCATGACCTTGCACTTGCCAGGCAGATACTTACATCACTGAGCTAAACCCCTGGCCCCTAAATAGTGTTTTGAAGATTAACTTACTGAAGATTTTATTCTGAAACTCAGTTCTTTAAATAAGATACCCAATAATGAAATTATATAGGTGGCTCTTGATAAGTTCTGCTAATTTTTTTTTTTTTTTTTTTTTTTTTTTGGTACTGGGGATCGAACTCACAACCTTGTGCTTACAAGGCAGGCACTTAGGCCGCTTAGCTATATCTCTTGCCCGGTTCAGCTAAATTTTAATTAGTGTTTTTCAGAAAGCTGTTAAACAAGTTTTTAACTTGCTTCCAATGCATTTTCTCTTTTTTAGGGGCTAAAAGAGGTGACACTTCTTGGTCAGAATGTTAATAGTTTTCGAGACAATTCAGAGGTTCAATTCAACAATGCTGTATCTACTAAGCTCAGTCGTGGTTTCACCACCAACTATAAAACCAAACAAGGAGGGCTTCGTTTTTCTCACCTTCTAGATCAGGTTTCTCGAATAGATCCTGAAATGAGGATCCGGTTTACCTCTCCCCATCCCAAGGATTTTCCTGATGAGGTGAGTGTAGTCATTTAGCTGTGACAAATTAGTATCCATATCCTGAATGACTCCACGGACTGGGTCTAGCAGGGGTACAGCGGGAACCCTGAGCACTGCTTGAGGAATCCTATGCTGTGTTGCTGCATCTCCCTCTGAAAAGATTCAAAGTCCTCCAATGTTAGGGTGGAGGTAGGACTGGTATTTTCCACACCAGCTAAAACTGCCTGTGGGATCATGAGGGCTGGGTAGGGAGATTTCATTGCAAGGTGGGCAGCTGCGTGGTAGTGATTGTGGTTTGGTGGTGGTGTGCAGGCAGGAAAAAGGCAACGCGATGTGGTGGGAAACAGCCCAGACTTTAGCTTCATACAGGTCTGGGTTCAAATCTCAGCTGTTTCCCTTCTTTACCAGTGGGGTGGTAAAGGCGATTTTCAACTTGTCATTCTCCTGTAGGGTTGATAATGACCCCTATTTTATGTCATTGTGAAATAATATAATGTGTCAAACTTCACACAGAGCCAGACTTTGAATAGTTAGCCCACATGTAAAAACTTTTTTTGGTGTGTGTGGGGATACCAGGAATCGAATTTATAGCCTCCTGCTTGCCAGGCAGGCACTGTGCTGCTGAGTTATATCCCAGCCCCATAAAAATCTTTATTTTGATGTTTTTTTGTCTTGGTGAAATGTTTGTCTCAGATGTTACCTTTTCTCTCTTGGATTATTATTATTGTTTTTTTGATTTGTAAAGTTTCTTTATGTATTCACTTGCCAGGCAGATACTTACATTCTTCTTTACATATTCTTGATATAAATCCTTTGTTAGTATGTTTTTAGATATTTTCTCTAGTGTTATTTTTCCCTCACCTCCCTTTTTTGAGAACAGAGTCTTGCTGTATAGCTCAGGCAAGTCTTGAACTCACTGTGTAGTCTGGCTAGCCTTGAACTCCTGGTGATTCTCTTGCCTCAGCCTCCTGAGTGCTGAAATTTTTGGCATGCACCATCACACCTAGCATAATTTTAATTTCCTGATAGTGTTTTTTAAAGTGGTTAAGTAGTTTGTGAGCTAGGTAAAAGTATTATCATCTTTTGCTTCCTTGACTATTGATCCTTCATGTCGGGACTACCAAAGAGCAACCCTGTGGCTTGAATATGACTTGTGTTTGCTCTTTTTCTCCTACTTTTTGAAAAGAAAGATGGCATCAGGGGAAATGACTGGGGCACACAGAAGGTAGCTTGAGTGGGAGTTAAGAATTTTGCTAATTTATGTATTTGATGAGAGTTGACCTTGAGGAGAAATGGTGAGAGTGATATTCCTTTCTGCAAGATTCAGCGGTAAGATTTGACTGACCCTTAATGTGTTTTGTTTAATTAGGTTCTGCAGCTGATTCACGAGAGAGACAACATCTGTAAGCAGATCCACCTACCAGCCCAGAGTGGAAGCAGCCGTGTATTGGAGGCCATGCGAAGGGGGTTGGTCTTATTTGGAGAGGGCATACAGTATCTTATACCTGTCCTTGCTTTTTTATTTATTATTTATTTGATTGTTGTCTTTCTGAGACAGCATCTCACTATGCAGTTCAGATGGCCTTGAGCTCACTTCATAGTTCAGCTGGCCTCAAATTTGTCTTTTTTTTGAGACGGGGTCTTGCTATGCAGTTCAGGCTGGCCTTGAGCTCACTTTGTAGCCCAGGCTGATCTCGAACTCGCAATGATCCTCCCACCTCAGCCTCCCGAGTGCTGGGATTACAGGTGTGAACCACCACGTCCAGCTGGCCTCAAAGTTGAAGTGATCCTCCTGCCTCAGCCTCCTTCGTGCTGGGATTACAGGCTTGCACCACCATGCCCAGCCTGTCCTTGTTTTTTTTAATGACCAAGCATTGTCTGTATTGCTAAGAACTGAGCATGGTTTATGAGCTAGGTGAAAGACGTGTCATCCTTTCCTTCCTTGACTGTTGATCCTTATGTCAGTACTACCAGTGAACACCCCTGCAACTGGAATCTAGCTTGGGCTTGCTCTCTTCTCTTGCACATAGCTGCTCAGTGAATGTTTATCATATGAATAAACCTGTAGTCATGGAACTTGCTTTTGTTCACTCCATAATCATAGGTTAAGGACTGGGTCACCCATTTTAATATTTTTTAGCATATTTAAAATTGCTAAATTATCTATTTTTGTGGTATTGGAAATTGATCCTACAGCCTTGTGCCTGCTGAGTGGTCCACTACTGGGCTACATCTCCAGCCTTGTTTAACATTTTAAAATTGTCTACTATGTAGCATGGTTGGAGATTTTTTTTTTTTTTTTTTTGGATTGAACTCACAACCTCTTTCTTGATAGGCATGGTTGGAGATTTTAACCCTTTAACTTTCTTTCTTTTTTTCTTTTTTGAGACATGGTCTTGTTATGTAGTACAGGTTGGCCTTGAACTTGCTTATGCAGCTTGTGCTGGCCTTGAACTTACAGTGATCCTGTCTCAGTGTCCTGAGTGCTGGGATTATAGGCAGTGCCACCACTCTTGGCAACCCTTTAACTTTTCAGAATAAAAATAGTGTTTTAGGTTTTGAAATTTAAATGTTGTTCTGTTCACTGGTAATACTTACTGACTTAGTTACTTATTTAGTGGTACTGAGAGTAAAACTCATAACTTTGCATTTGTCAGGCAGGCCCTGCATAGCTGAGCTGTATCCCCAGCCCTGACTTTGGAAGTATTTAGTATTGTAGAAATAAGACTGCAAAAAATGTGACCCAAGGCAAATTGTATAGAACTAGTGCTTTGCTTTTTTTTTTTTTGTCTTTTTCGTTTTTATCGGTACCAGGGATTAAACTCCCGACTGCCTGCTTGCAAGGCAGGCACTTATGCTGCTGAGCTAAATCCCCAGCTCCTTGCTTTTTCTCTTTACAGGTGCAAAGAGTTATAGATATCCTCTTAAGTGTTTAATCTGTTCTAATTTATTAAGTAAAAGGGCTAGGGATTTAAAAAAATTCAGGGCTAGGGTTATAATCTATGATAGAGTGTATGCCTAGCATGTGTAAAACCCAGGGTTCAGTTACACAGCACTGGAAAAATATATTATAGTCTTTAGATCAGATAGGGTTTGATGAAAGGGACTCTTTGAGATTTTTTTTTTTTGGTACCGGGTATCCAAGTCATGACCTCATGCTTGCAAGGCAGGCACTTATGCTGTTGAGCTAAATCCCTGGCCCCTCTCTCTTTGAGATATTTTGACATAATTCTGAACTGTATTGTGTTAATGAGAAGTGATTACATTTGAGAGTTCATGTGTTATTGTTATAAAAATAAGATTTATTTAAAGAAGAATGGTTCACCTAGGCCTTTTCTTTTTGTTGTTTGTCACAGGTATTCAAGAGAAGCTTATGTGGAGTTAGTTCACCATATCAGAGAGTCTATTCCAGGTACATTTAAGAACGCTGAATATGAGTGTATTACTATGTCACACTGCATAGGCACCTTGGTCAGATATAGGCAATGCCAGTCTCCTTGATGGTTCCTTGTGAAACCATCTATACTTCTTTTGCTTTCTTCATTGTGTTCTCTCCCTCTCCCCCTTTTTCTCTTTCCCTCCCTCCTGCCCTCTGTGCTTAGATGTATAGATAGAAATATATGTTTGTGCAGGGCACTGCAAGATTTTCACTAGTAAAAAGCAGGACCACTCTGAAAACATGGATGCCTAGTGTGTCTCAGAATGTGGCATTTGAAGTGAAGATACCTTTTCGGGTGCTGTGGGGAACATAGACTGAGAAGCCAGCTCCGGCATGGATTGTGGTGGAGAAGCAGGCTCGAGTGCCGCTGTCTGTAATAATGGTTTTACTTGTACATGGATTGGCCCAGGGAAGGCCTTTGAATTGTTCTCCATGCTTCTGTAGCCCACCAATGCCAAAGCTCCTCTTGAAGGTCAGCAACAGCATCCTGTTATCCTTGTTGTGTATCACAGGGGTGTGCCTCAGCAGCGACTTCATTGCTGGCTTCTGTGGAGAGACAGAGGAAGATCACCTGCAAACAGTGTCTTTGCTCCGGGAAGTTCAGTACAACACAGGTTTCCTGTTTGCTTACAGCATGAGAGAAGTGAGTACAGGGCGGGGGAGGCCTGTCCTCATTCCTGACCAGCTTGGGGTTGGTCATCGACAACTGGGCAGAAAAGAGGGGTGGCAAGGCATTCATTACAGAGCCTCAGGATTTCGTCATCCACTTCTTTTTCACTTTTCTATTTAAATCTTTTCTAATGTTTGACATAATACAGCATTTAGAGATGAAAAAGGGTTACTGTACCATTGTTCTTGTTTATTAAAATACTTGATGTTATGCTTAGGTTTAAAATTTTAATGTGGAGAGGGAGAAACTTACTCTCTTTATAAGGAATCTAAAATAATTTCTCAACATGTGGAATTTGTGTCTATACCTGTGGTCTTTTGAGGCACCTGTAGCTGTTTTTGATTTCTGTTTTTCTAGGGCCAAGTTGGCCCACTAGTGTTTAGTTTTAGCTTTCCCTATGACATAAATTTCCAGGAAAACAGAAAATGAGACAGGAAAAGGAGAATGCGTGTTTCCTATAGAGAGATGATCCCGGTCTGCCTTTTTCTTGGTGGTAGAGATGGGTTTGCATGGTTGCTCATCCCTTAGTCACTTTGGAGCCAGCGTGCCTTGTGTTTGGAATGGAAGCTGAGGGCCCTTGTGACATAGGGCTCAGGAAGGCTGACTGGTGAATGACCCAATCTGTGACTTCAGGTTCACCCCTGTGCTGCCATCAATCCAGCTAATTTATTTGTTCTAAAGCTCATGGTTCAGTATTTTGTAGGTAGTATAAGTGGGCCAATGTGTATATTCATGTCTTTTGCAAAATTGAGAGATGATGCTTCAGAAGAGTTTTTAGAATCCATTTTGCTTCATTTTCATGGTTGTAACAAACTTCAGAAATTCTTTGTAATGCTAGGGGTGGGAATGAAATTGGTTATCACTGTATGGTAGGTGCATGTTCTATAGACATTGAATATGCATATTCATTTTGGGACCTAATCTGTAGGTTAGTGATGGAGTTTATACAAACTTAAGTATCCTAGTGTATGAGAACAGGCATTCAGATTGTGTGTCTGCCACTTAATAACTGTGTGACCTTGAACAAAATCTTTGATTTTCTCATCTGTGAAATGCAGGTGATATTAGTACCAGCTTTATAGGCTTGTTTTGAAGATTAAGAAAGTATGTATAAAACATAGACTAGAGCTTTGTACATAGTAAGTGCTACTGTTAATAGCAAGGCAGAATAGAGTAAAACCTATAGGATTCTCTACCAATTTCCTGTTCTCCTCTGTGGATATTAAAGGCCAGGATAGCTTAAATACTTACACTGTGCTTTAAAGATTTTTCTTACTGTGGGGTGAAGGCTGGCCTTGAACTTACTAAGTAGCCCAGGCTGGCCTTGAACTGATAGCAATCCTCCTGCCTCAGCCTCTTGAGTGGTGGGGTTACAGACTTTCACCATCATGCCTGGCTGCTAAAGACTTTGTTTTAAATCCCATCATTTTGTCTGTCTCAGTGCTTCTCTTTAGCTGTTTTGAGCATGAGTTCACATACATAAAGGTATATATATATATATATATATATCCATATCCAGTGGTTTTGATTGATTTATATGACTCCAAGGATAATTTTTTTTGACTAGGTAATATGTGCTTATGCTATAAAATTCAAAAGTTTAAAATGGTATAAAATGAGAAATAGTTTCTTCTTCTTCCCAGTAGTGTTTCTGTTCCTTTCTTGAAGGTAGCAATACTTAGTGGTTTTTTGTGTCATTTTCAGCAAAATTTCATTTATTTATATTTCATGTATTTATAATTTGTATGTTTTTTCCCTATCTCAAAGATGTACTCAGGCAGCCTAACAGTGTGTTTCGGAGAATAGTCCATATTAGTACATACAGAACTTGGGTTTTTGCCTGGTTCTGGGGGTTGAATCTAAGGCCTTGCACATGCTAGGCGCATGCTCTGCCACTAAGTTATACCCCTAGCCCATTTTCTTTTGTTTTGTCTTTGAGACATTTAGTATGTCTTATGTTTCATAAACCATGCTGATGAGTTGCCTAGTACCTGAATCATTTAGTGTACGTCCAAAGTGGGACCTTAGGACAAATATCAGAAGTAATTTTGTCTATGATTTTTATGTATTAAACTGTGAATGAGCTGGGCATGGTGGCACATGCCTGTAATCCCAACATCTAGGAGGCTGAGGCAGGAGGATTACCACACGTTAGAGGCCAGTAAGGTTACATAGCAAGACCCTGTCTCAAAGCAACAACAATAAAAAGAAAAGAAATTAGAAATTGATCCTTGAAAAATGTAATTGGTTCCAGAACCAGAGAACCCTCCTGGTTTAGGTTTGAGTTTTTATACGTGTGCCTATAACTTACAGGTGGAATGAACCTTCTTACCATCTATGTCCTAAGAATGGATTCTTCAAGTCCTTGGTGACCTTTTTTCCTTGTTTTTAAATAGAAGACACGTGCATATCATAGGCTGAAGGATGATGTTCCAGAAGAAGTAAAATTAAGGCGTTTGGAGGAACTTATCACTGTCTTTCGAGAAGAAGCTTTGAAAGCTAATAAAACCTCTGTGGATTGTACCCAGCTGGTACTGGTAGAGGGGGTGAGTCTGTTTAACTATGTATATATTTTATTTTATTTTTTTTAGAATACATCTCTTTTATTAATGTCTTCTTTGATTTTTTTTTTTGTCTTTTTCCTTTTTATTGGTACCAGGTATCGAACTCACGACTGCCTGCTTGCAAGGCAGGCGCTTACGCCGCTGAGCTAAATCCCCAACCCCTCTTCTTTGATTTTTAATTAAAGCTTTTGTAGTTTTCAGTGGTGAAGTCTTTTAAATACTCGTTTAATATACTCGTTGGCCCATTTACACTTCCTCCCCTCTCCTCCTGTGTCCTCTTCTCTTTTTCATTCTATGGGTATAGAACCCAGGGTCGCATGTGTGCTTGGCAAGCCCTCTCCACCGTGAGCTATATCCTCATCCATTTTTTTAATTTTTTATTCTGGGACAGAGTTTCACTAAGTCATTCAGTTGCCTAGGTTGGACTTGGACTTGTCTCAGCTTCCCAGAGTGCTGAGATCATAGTCTGGGGTACCACACCCAGTTTAGAGAAATGTTCTTTCTCTCAGTCTTCTAGACATCTCCATGGTGTTTACTGCTCAGAGGTTTGACTGATATGTTGGTATAGATTTGTTTAGGTTTACTTGGTTAGGAGTTTTATCTTTTGCCAAATTTGAGAAGTGTTTAAATGTTAATTCTTGATTGCTTTTCAGCCTTGCTTTCTTTCTCTTCTTCCATGATTGTAATGACAGATATCAACACAAATACAGATTTTTATTTTATCCTAGAGGTACTCCAGTATATTTTTCCCCTTATGTTCAGACTAAATAATTTCTGTTGTTCTCTGATATTTTTCAGAGTCCTTTTTTAATATGTTTGTGGCTGTTAGTTGTACTTAGTGGGAACATTAGGGAAAAATACATTTATTTCATCTTTGTGGAAGCAGAATCATGTATATTTTTAGAATCAATTTTGTTGCTTTTAGTTATTTTTTGGTCTGTGTTAGAAAGATCCTGGTGGAGGACAGTTCTGCTGCTTACTTTAGGGTATGTCAGCATCAAAGCAAGCACTTGTCTAGTGTATTTGTTGAGACTCCCTGGTAGTAACAGAAATTTGCACAAGAAAGCAAAATATTTTTACATAAGACTCCAGGCATGTGCAGAGTACAGTCTGCGTTTGGAAGAGACTGTACCCAGCTGGGAAGTGCATGAGACAGACGTCTGTCTTCACTCAGGCCAGCTTTCTCTTCTTCATCATTTGGGTAGTAGAGTATAGCAGCCCTGTAGTCCTTCTTCATACATACTGTTTCTAGCAGTTGTGTTTCTCAGCTCAGCGTCAGAGAACCTGATCAACTCAGCATAGGTTGGGGTCCCCCTTGTGGTCCAGCCAGCCTCAGCTGGGTGGCAGGAAGAAGTGCAACAGCAGCTGCTGGACATTGATACTGAGTGGGTGAAAAACCCTGAAAGATGTTTGCCTTGTTAAATACTTTATAACTGAGGGTGTCAACTTTGATTCTGGCCGACAGTTTCCTGGTTGCTCTATTGCCTGCCTTCAATGGTGTTTTACTCTATACATATGTATGTTAGTATTCAGTAGAGTCCAAGGGACCCTATGTGTATTTCTAGAGCTCTTTTTCTGCTGAACTTCCTCCAATTGGTTTTACAGTTTATAGCTATCTCACACTGCTGAACCATTAATCCCCAGCTCCTTTCAAGGAAAGAGACACTATGGTAACTACTTTTATGTCAGGATATCTTGTGGTGAAACACTATTTTGCTTAAATGGTTATGTTTTGACCTGTGCTGTTTTTTCCTCTTTTATCTTAATCTCCTTTTTTATTATTTATTTTTATCTTTTTAATTAAGGGAAAAATAAATAAAAAATAGCAGGATATATTATAGTAATCCACTTTTATTTCCTATTAACTTGATTTGAAAGCCTGTATTGCTCTCACCATCTTGTTTTGACTGATTTAATCTATTCTGTTTTGCTCGATAGTACCAAGTTTGAGAGTATAGGCAACAACTTCAAAGACAATAAGATTCACTATGATGTCCATTCTGGTTTGACTATTATCTTCTTTTGAAGTCCTGTAATGTCTCCAGTGTTTGGTTTTATTGGTTTTGTTCTTTACTCTTTTGTTCAATTTTATTATAACTGATGATATAGGCAGTTCTTTTTAAGATAGCAAGAGGCATTATGGTAACCATTTTAGATCACCTTGTATTCTGTTTTTATGTTATGTATTATGTCCATTCTTTTGATTTGACTGACTCTGTTTTGTTATGTCACATTTGGTTTTATTTTCTTCAAAAAAAAAGTAATAAGAACTGTGGGAGTAATAAAACCCAAAATGTGTAATTATTGTAAAAAAGAGAGGAAAAGAAAGTGCTCTAAAGGATATAACTGCATGTATATTTAAGTGTATAAGATAGATAACCATATTACTGAGTTTTGTTGGATCACTGAACAGAACTGTTTGCAATCTCACTGTTTGAATGTCCACTTCATATGCTTTAATTTTGTAACTTGAACAAATATTTCTAAGATGACAATATGTAATCTATTAACTAGTGATTTTCTACTATTATTTTTTTTGAAATTCTGTATAACTTGTACCCTCTTTCTGTTTTTTTCTTTTTCTCCTTAAATAAAAAAAAAAAAAAGAACAACATTGGCAAAAACAAAAAGTAGGAAATCCACAATAGTTACTATATTGCATATTGTTAGCCTTTAAATAGATGCTCAGACTACTGGCTCTATGTCTGTAAAGTCAAACATTACAGTCATTCAGTTCGTTCTTTACTTCAATTGCTATCATCTTAGCCTGCATTTTTCTTAATCAGCCTTTTGCTAATGCAGGAGTGGTGGGGATATCTTTTCTCCTTGCTTGCATGCCCGCTCATACATGGTAGAGTGCTGCTGCTTCCTGGTTTTCTCCTGGTCTGTCTGACTGGGCTTGCACCTTGCAGCAGATTTAATGTTTCTGTTTTAGTATTAAGATCTTTGATCCATTCTGATGCTAGCTTAGTACATGGAGGCTATCTTTCTTGCAGTGAATGTGTTTGGCAGTTTTGTCCAAGATATGGTGATGCTTAGGGTTGGGGATTTAGCTCAGCAGTGTAAGTGCCTGTGTTGCAAACACAGGGTCATGAGTTTGATCCCTGGTACAGGGAGTGGGGAAAGATAAAGTATTGCTTAGAGTGTCTGGAGTTGTTTCTGCATCTTATAATCTATTCCTTCGATCTTTGGGTCTGTTTTTTTTTTTTTTTGCCAGTATCATGCTGTCTATAATTTATAAAATAAATTATATTTTGGTACTGAGGCTTGAACTCATGACCTTGTGCTTGCCAAGCAGGCACTTGTGCCACTGAGCAATCCCCTCACCCCTCATGCTGTTTTTATCACAGTAAAATAATTTCAAGTCAAGGGTTATGATGCCCTCTGTCTTGTCGTTGTTGCCAGGATCGCCTTTGCTCTTCTAGTTCTAGATGAATTTTAGGACATTTTTCTCTAATTCTGTGAGATATGCTATTGGAATTTTGATTGGGATTGCACTGAATCTGTATAACAGTTTTGGAAGTATGACCATTTTCACTGTATTGGGTTTTCCTACCCAAGAGCACAGGGTATCTCTTCATTTCCTAATATCCTCTTCAATCTCCTTTTTCAGAGTACTATAGTTTTCAATATAGAGAATTTTTATGTTCTTTGTTAGATTGATTCATAAATACTTCATTTTTTGGATGTTATTGTGAAAAGTGTTATTTCCCTGATTTCTCTCTCAGTGAATTTGTTCTTCCTGTATAAGAAGGAAGGCTTTTTGAGTGTTGACTTTATAACTTTGTATCCAGCTAGGTTACTGAATTTGCTTATTAAATCTAGTGCCCTTCTTTTTATTTTGCTTTCTACTTTGTTGTTTTTAAGGCAGGGTATCATTATATAGCTGGCTGACCTTGAACTCCTTGTGTAACCTAGGCTGGCCTAAAACTCTTGATCCTCCTGCTTCAGCCTTCTAGTGCTGGGATTATAGGCATTGGCCACCATGTCTGGCTGATTCTTTCTATTCTCAGTGGAGAGAGAATCTCTATGCTCTGGTTGAGATCTTCTCTACTTTTTGTGACATGGCCTGGTTGAAAGGAGAGTCAGGTATCATTTAATTTGTTTTCCTTCTCTTGTACATCACAACCTTGTGATCTGTTGTTCAATATGGGAAAACTGTTTCTTTTCTTTTTTTTTTGGCGGTATTGGGGATTGAACTCACGACCTCACACTTGCCAGACAGGCGCTTATGCCGCTAAGCTAAATCCCCAGCCCGGAAAACTGTTTCTTATATTTTTTTTCAATTTCCTAATTTAAGGCTGGAATGTAAATTTAGTCCCTGTTACTTCAATATGGCTGTAAGTGAAAGACTTAAGTTATAAAAGTTAATCCCATTCTAGTGGTTTGCTTATCATATTGTGGAGATTCTGGCTTCAAATGTGTTCAACAGGGCAAGAAACACAGGCCACTCAACCTCAGGATGTTTGTGAGGGATTACTGTGAGAGAGGGTAAATGTGCAAGACGACTTGCCACGTGCAGGCACATTACCCACAGATACCTGGAGCTAACTGTTGAGGAAGGCAGTTCTGCAAAGACTCATCGATGAATTGACTGCTTCAAATATGGCCAGCAGACTTCTAGAGTTTCTGTTGTGTGCCATGCACTGCCCTTGTTTGTGAAGCAGCAGTAGACACTAAGCTTCCAGTCATTCTTTGGTTAAGAAGTGCTCCCTGGGTATGGATCCTTGAGGTTCTTGAAACAGAGAAGGCAGTTTCCACCCTCCTAGAATTTATGACTATGACAGTTTTCTCTTTTGTTTCTGTAGCTCAGTAAACGCTCTGTCACTGACTTATGTGGCCGGAATGATGGAAATCTTAAAGTGATCTTCCCTGATGCAGAGATGGAGGATGACATTAACCCTGGGCTTAAGGTCCGAGCCCAGCCTGGGGATTATGTGCTGGTAAAGGTAATGTATCCTTTTAGGGTTTTTTTTGACAATCTCCAGCTGACCTCTAACAGTGATCATCTTGTTTTAGCCTCCTGAGTGCTGGGATTATAGGTGTGTACCACAATGCCTGGTTCCTTTGAGTGTATACTGGGAGTGTTAATTTGCACAATTCTGAGTTACACACGATCCTTTTTTGTTCCCAAGTAACATAAATCCAACCAGTAAGATTTAATGAAAGGACCAAAGTAAAGAAGGAACTCTGGATCCAGCCAGGGGTCTGTTTCTTGTTTCTCTTTCATTCATCTCTGCTCTTCACATGTCCTTTCTGACTAAGTCTCTGGTCAGCACTAGAACCACTCCTTCATGAACTTCACTTTTTTATTTCCCTTTCCACATTTGCCTAAGCTCTAACCCAGGGGAAACTGACAATCTGCTTACTCTGCACCTACATCCAAGCAGCTGAACATCACTGAAGAAAAAGATAGTAGGTTAGGTTACAAATACAGTGGTTTTATCAGGAAGGAGTCCTCATAAAATCTGGATATGGATGCCCGGGACTGGAGGTTGTGATGGCTGGTGTGCCCTCAGAGGCCCAGGCTCCCCCTTCCTTTTGCTTTGCTTTGGGCCTTCATTCTTAGTGTCACTTTTCCTGAATGGCTGCTCAAGTTTTAGCCACCATGTCTATGTCTTACCTAGAAGGAAGGGGAAAAGAGAGGAGAACAGGTTTCTTTTCAGGATGCTTTGCTGAAGTTCTGTACGCCATTTCTGCTCTAGTCACATGTACAACAGGCTGCAATGCAGCTGAGAACTGTGTTCTTCATTCTGAATGACCATGTGTTCAGCTAAAAAGTGTGAGTTCTGTTACTGAGGAAGAAGAGGAGAAAGACATGTTAAGGGATAAATGGATGCCCCTTACTACATGAATTGACTGTACTTACTTCAGATTCATGACCATAATAGCTCAAATGAACTCAGCGTGATACTGAAGTCCTGGACCTAATATAGTTTCCTAGTAGATTGATTTTTCCCATCTCTCCTAAGTCTCTACTGACTTATGCAATCCCTTTTCTGATGCTGGTTTTTTTTTTTTTTTTTTTTTTGAGGCATGGTATTGCTCTGTAATTTAGGCTGGCCTTGAACTTACTATGTAGCTCAGGCTGGCCTTGAACTTGTGGCAGTCCTTCTGCCTCTGCCTCCACAGCACTGGAACTACAGGTATATGTCACCATGCCTAATTTTTCTGATGGCTTTGCCTCATGTTTCATATGCAGTACAAAAGAAGAAATTATCTTATTCTTCATTTCCACCAGCTGCTCACATCTAGATGTGACTCTAAGAGGAATTGAGAAGTTTTAAGACTTTTTCAAATTCCTTTTCTTTTTTTTTTTCTCTGACAACCTTGGATCTCATAATTTCTTCTTTTCATATGGCTTCTGTCCAGTATGAGTTATTTTTTATATAGTAAAACTACAGAAGTTTTGAAAGTAAAACTGTAGAAGCCTTTACCATACTACTTTCTTTCATATTTCTCTTGTTAGACCTTTTTATGCCTGACAGCTGAACTGGAACTAGGAAAGTCTGTCTCATATAACTGACATACATATAATTTATTGCCAGTCTGTATTGCCATGGTTGTTTTAATTCCTAAGACAGAAATACTTTCCCTTATTTTTTATGATTATAGAGTTCTTTTCCACTCAGTCATCCTTTAAAAATAAACTGGCATAGTCAGAGGATCTCCCACATATCTAACATTCATAATCTCCAATGAGGGCTACAAATTCTTCAATTCTTCAGCAAGAGATGTAAAATCATCTCATGTTGCCTATATCCATTAACAGTAGTAGTTTTTTGTTTTTTTTTTCTTGTACCCGGGATCAAACAATTGGGCACTTGCAAGGCAGGTGCTTAGGCCACTGGACTAAATCTCCGGCCCAACAATTCTGCTATAGTGAGATCTTTCATGTTGAGTATCGCTGTAAGAACAAAAGCTTTATTATGTTTTGGTCATAAAATATCTTAAGAAAGGATTTCAGTAGTGTAGTTTGAATCCTGGCTCACTTCTGGGATTAGGAAATCAATGGCTATGAATTTATTTTTTTAAATTTTCTTGTTTGTTTTGTTTTTGAGATAGGATCTTGCTATGTAGTCCAGGCTGATGAGCTCACCATGTAGCTCAGGTTGGCCTCGAACTCTTGATCCTTTTGCCTCAGCCTCCTCAGTGTATGCCACTGAGCCTGGCTGTACCTGATCTTACAGCTGATGTTGGAGGGAAACCATTTCCTAATGTAAAGGGAGAAGTGGCCATTGGGATGGACCTGTATTTGATATCTGAAATTACAGATATCTCTTTTGTCAGCCATGTAGTGTTTGTCACCATGGTATCTCCATCAGATTCCTTTTGGTGGCCTTTCTTCCAGATGCTGCGCATTAAGTACTTGTGCAATCCTGGTTACTTTGTTTTCTAACTGGTTTTCTTTCAGATCACCTCTGCCAGCTCTCAGACACTCAAAGGACATGCCCTGTGCAAGACCACTCTGAAGGGCTCCTTAACACATTGCTGACCTGAGTGACTTAAGTGGTTCTTCTCTATAGGAAGTAGTCACTTCTCTATAGGATGTGGGAAATCCTTCTCTACAGGAAGGAGACATGGGCTGGCCATTAGTGAAAGAGGTAATGACACTTTGGAGACAAGATAGAAGTGGCGAAGCAACTTTATGTTAAATGAAAAATTGTATCCCTTTACAGTCAATAAATTTACCTAAACCTAATGGCCTCTTTGTCCACTTTTACTTTGGTTAGTGTTTCTGGGATATTCTCTCTCTTTTACCAGGTACTAGAAATTAATTCCAGGGCCTTGTGCATGCTAGGAAAGAGCTTTAATGTTGAGCTACATCCCCTATCCTTTTAAAAATTTTTATTTTGAGGCAAAGTCCTGTTAGTTTGCTGAGATTGAGGCTTGAACTTGGGATCATCTTGTTTCAGCCTCCTGGTAGCTGAAATTACTGGCATGTACCACTATAACCAGCTTCTGATGATTTAATTGATGCTATTGATTCAGCTGTTTGTCCTTTAATTTTTCCCATGTGTTTGCCTCAGGATTTCCTCATGGACTTCTCTTAGTCTGTCAGTTGTGTTTGCCTTCAGTTGTAAGAGCACCTGGGTTTTACAAAATGTCATTACTCATTAATAGGCTGTAGCAGTGGTTCTCTGTGTATTCACTACTGCAGTTATTTTGTTCTGTGGGTGTCATGAGAAAAAACTCAAGTTGAGATAGCCCCCAGAAGGACTGTGGTTCAAGTTTCCACTGCATTGCTTAAGTGTTGTGTAAAATTGAGTAGTTAACTTTATTTTTATATACTTTGGTTTTGACATGTATGATGTGGGGATAATTATAAAATTTTTATCTCATATGGAGTTTAATGAGAGTATGATTGTAAAGAGTTTCCAGTGTTGGGCCTTTGGTGGAGCACTCGGTAGAGTGCTTAGCATGCTCATGTCAAGGCCTTGGGTTTAATTCTAAGCACCAAATAAATATGATATTTCCCACAGAACATTTTAAGTTCCTAAGGGAAGTGATCCTTGACTCATTGTCCTTCTAAAGCAGACTGCATGTGTTAAGATATGCTGAGGTGGTCGTTGTGTGTCTGATCAAGGATATCCTTAGACCTTCTCAGTTGGCGAGCATGACACCTCTTGGGAGCCTCAGCTGGAACCTTTCCTTCTAGTGCTAGTTTGGCCTGGGACGGTTAGCTTCTACTCTCAGGGTTTATCTTCTACTGAGGACACTTGTTACCGCTTTTCATTATTTTATTCAAAAGGCATTTATAATAAGCTTGAAGTTTTATCATCATCATCATCATCATCATTATTATTATTATTTTTTTTACATCTGCCATTTCTGTCTCATATCATTATTATTTGATGGTACTAGGGATTGAATCCATGGCCTTGCAAATGCAAAGTGCATGCTTCTATCACTGAGCTACATCAGCTCTCTTGAAATTTTATTTTATTTTATTTTTTTGGTACTGGAAGTCAAATTCGGGAATTTCATGTTTGCCATACAGGCACTGTGCAGCTGAGCTATATCCTGGGCTGGCTTTATTTATTTATTTTGCAAATCCATTTTATTTCAAAGACAGGAAGAAGAAGAAGAAAAAGAAAAAAAAAAACTTGGCTTTATTTTAAATCACCTCTATTACTTAAACTTTTATTTATAGCTGGGCATGCTAGTATATACCTGTAATCCCAGCACTTGGGAGGCAGGAGGATTGCTGGAGTTGGAGGCCAGTTTGGGTTACATAGTGAGTTCAAAGCCAGCGTGAACTGCATAAAAGACCTTGTTTCAAAAAATCGTTTTTAATTTAAAAATTTAAAGCATACATGTGGTAAATAATCCAAATAGTACAGTATTTATCTATCACTCAGTTCTCTTTCTCTTTTTTGCTAGTCCCTACTTTCCTTTTATACTGGGAAACTCTAATAGAGTTTTATAGAGCAAGTCTTTTTTTTTTTTTTTTGAGACTGAGTTTCACTATGTAGCTCCAGATAGCTTTGAACTCACAATAATTCTCCTGCTTCAGCCTACTAAGTGCTGGGATTACAGGTATGCACCATCACACCTGCAGAGCTAGTCTTGTACACTGTTTTGAAGTGTACAATTCAGTGATTTTTTTTTTTTTTTTTAGGATATTTACAAGGGATTGCAACAGACATCAATGTCTTCTTGTAGAACATCTTCATCACTCCAGAAAGGAACCCTGACCTGTTAATCATTCCCTATTTTCTTCTCCCCGACAATACCCAGAAAATACTAGTACTGAGTATACTTTGTATTTATGTAAGTTGCTTATTCTAACCATTTTATGTAAATAAGTCATAATATGTGACTTTTGTGTTTAACCTTTTTCACTTAACCTATTTCAAGATTCATCTACAATGTGGCATTTGCCAGTAATTCGTTTTTTTTTTTTTATGGCTGTAAATTTCTGCATTTATATACCATATTTGTTTATTTATTCCTCTGTAAGTAAACTATTGAGTTGTGAATTTGCTGCTCATTTTTTTTTTTTTTTGAGACAGGAGTCTCACTATATAGTTCAGGCTGACCTTGAACTGACTATTTAGCCCACACTGGCCTCCTTTACCACAGGCCCTCCTACCATGCCATTTCTGCCTGGAGCCAAGGGCATGGACTGTAACCCTGAGCCAAAAATCCCCTCTTCCTTTACATTGTGGTATTAGTTATTTGTCCCACTGACAAGGAGAGTGACCAATTGGGTGTATACTTAATAGTGGAGTCGCTTGACCGTATGTTATTCTGTGTTCATGTTATAAGGAATAGCTGACCTGTTTTCTGTAAGTACTGGACCATTTTTATATTTTGACCAGAAGTTATATACCAGTTCTGATTTGTCCATGTTCTCACCAATGGTTTGAGGTTTTTAGGGAGGAAAAATATGTGTTTTACCAAGACAGATAGGGAATAAATTGTAAGTGGCAAGAGCAGAAGCGGGGAGTCTGGTTACTATAGTGGTTGATGATGGTGACTTGGACCAGGGTGGTGAAGGAGAGAAATACTAATGGGAGAGATGCTCTTTTTTTTTTTTTTTTTAAACTTTTTGACACAAGGTCTTGTCTCAAAGGACTATGTAGCCCAAGTTGGCCTCAAACCCATGGTGCTTCTCCTGCCTTAGCCTCCCAAGTACTAGGTTCACTGGCGTACACCACCACAGCTGGGAAAGATGCTTTAGAGGCTGAATCAACAAGATTCGTTGTGTTGGTGAGAGGGGGGAATTGAGAATGATTTTCAGGAGTCTGGAAAACGGCATGTACTATATTGCTTTCAACCACAGTGGGATAGAAGGTGGGAGGTCGTGGCCTTGGAGAAACCAAGACTTTAGGTGTAGGAAGAGAACTGAAGGTAACAGTATGATTTGGCCTTCGTTTTCTGGGGGTGCTGCCCCTGCTGTGAAGCAAGTCCACTCTTTAGCCTCGGATCTTAACCTCCTGTTTACAGGTGTGCCCCAGGAACCTAAAGCCACCCACTTGGCCCCATCTCTCAAAATCTCCACAGTCCCTTAAATAGCATCATGCTAACATTGAAAGCCTTTAACACGTGGGCCTTTGGGGGATATTCCAGAGCTAAACTATCCACAGAGTGGTAAGGGGCAGAAACACTGGAAGAGCAGTCTTCACCATTGTTAGAATTACCCTTTAGTACACTTAATAAGGGGGTTTTGTTACCTTATCCTTCATATTATTAGTTTTTATTTTCCTAAGTAAGTTCTTTGACTGATCATAAACATACAAAGAGATTTCTGTCTGTCAAAATTGAAGACAAGAGAGTCATTTTTTGCATGCAACAGGTTTATTAAGGAGTTGATTAGAACAATGCCAAAAATCCCCGAATTTTTGCCTTTCTGGCACTTGTTAGTTCAAGGTGGTTGGTGAAAATTTCAAAGGGATGCTTGACATTTTAAGAAGACTAATTCTACTTGGTTCCTTAATCATAAGAATGTCCTTGGCTCAATATTTCACAGGAAAGTTTAACAGAATATTTTTGCTTTCATTCGGAATATTGCCTGGCTTCAGTTTTACTGGGTTCAGTTTGTTACAAGAAGATCATTCTGTGGGGAGATAGAAGACAGCCAGTTACACACTGAGACACATAAGCTGAGCACAGGCACAGTCTGAGGGAGCCAGTATGCTCTGTCCCCTGATCACAGCACTTGCTTCATGAATGGGGATACCATAACAAGTGTGGGCTGGAAATAGCAAAGTCTGATAGGTAGAGGCTTCCGTGCAGATCCAGAACAGAATGGATTCAGAAATAGTGGCGCCAAAAGATTGATTATGGCATCATTGTTTGGACCCTGCATTAAGCCTCCTTGAGGATCAAAGTGCAGAATACATTTTAGTGCAAAAAGAAAATTTTTTTTTTTTTTTTTTTGGTACCAGGGATCAAACTCATGACCTCATGCTTGCCAGGCAGGCGCTGTGCTACTGAGCTAAATCCTTGGCCCAAAAGGCAAATATTTGTTGAGTGGTCGTCTAGCATGTGTGAGGTCCTGAATTCTATCCCTAGCATTGTGAGATAAAAGTTTCTTACCGATGACGTTACTGTGACGTTGTTATTTACAGGAAATATGGACACTCCTGATGGTATATTCCAGTTTTTAGCCAATTCTGAAACAAAGGCCATATTATGACAGGAGTTGAAAGAACAATAAATAACTTGGGCGGTCTATTTTAGTCACAATCAGCTGGAGAGAACTCTGGGCAGTATGTGGTTCTAGGAGAAAATCTCTCGTTGGCCCATTCAGAAGAGGGTCACTTGGGTAAAGATCTACATGGTGTCTCCCAATCTATTGGGTGGGAGAGAGTGAGAAGGGCGAAGCAAAAGTAAGAGACTCCAGAACCATGTGGAGACCTGGCGGGTATGTCCTAATGTTGATGCTAGTGTCGATCCTGCATTGTCTGATCTTTCTGATTATTTTGATGTCCTTTAGAATTAACCAGAAATAGGTCCAGCTAGCAGGCTGTGCCATCACCATTGCTGTTCACCAGAGTTATGACTTCAGCTTCCTGGGTTGTCAGACCCCTAATATCTGTGTGACGAGGTGACCTGAGCCTATGTTTCTTTTAAATGCTATGGTGGTATTGGTCCTAAAGACATCCTGTGGACTAGATTTTTTTTCTTTTAAAGAGAAAACAAGATAAAAGTAACAATGTGACAGATTTTCAAAACAGGTTAGTAGGACAGTTATAATAAATAATACATTGCATATTGTTGTCTTTGTAGTAATTCAGAGTGTAAGATACAGGTGTGATACTTTGGTGGACTAGATTTCTTTAAGAGTCATAGAGAAGTCATTTTAAGTTGGTTTAAGTCATTTTTACCATCTCAAGATGCTGTCTCCCTATCTAAAAAGAAGTGCTGTGATCCAGCTGCTGATGGATGATCTTGTGCGTGCACTGTGCAGCATGGTTCACACCTGGGGCCCTCTCCTGTGACCCTGGCTCTCCCGGGTGTTAGGGTTATGAACTCCACATACCATTTAAGTGAGATGAGAACTTCTTCTGAACTTCAAGCAGCACTTCTTTCACTAAGTCATTCTGCAAAGAGATGGGAGAGACATTTTCATCAAAGCTCCCAGTAAGGCATCGTAGCCATGGAAAGCAGTCTTACAGCCTGTGTACCTATAGGTTTTTTCCTAATAAAAGCTTTTGTTCTGGACAATGTTAGGGGGGATCTCAATCCACCCCTCAGCCCACTAAACTGTTAGGAGTTTTCAAGGACCTTAGTAACTTGTTGCCTTAGGTGGCTTCTTAAACAGAGGTTTCTTGGTTCCTGGTATGTGCCAGACAGGCCTGCAGGAATAGCAGGCAGCTCTGTGCCATCAGCACAGACACCATGTTTAGTGGTGGATTGGGCTCCTGCCTCTTTTGCACTGAATGTGACACCTTCTCAGATCTGATCCTCCCTGCTGGTGCTTTCCCTCCCTTCTCTCTGCATCACCCTCTGCTGCTTGTCCAGGAGTCTGAGCTGCCTATTGGTGCATCTAGTCCTACACTTGCTGTGTGTGGTCAAGTCCTCCTGTTTTCACAACTGAATTTGGGCGTAATTTTGATTAAACCTACTCTATGCCTTCCAGTTAGTGCTCTTTCCATTTTGTCTTCATAATGAGTTAGAAAGAAACATTTTGCATAAATGTCTATGTCTCCTACCAGGTGTATAGTTACATGAAGTCAGGGATCAGCCCTTCTAAGTTGCTACCCCTGAGCGCAGGACTTGATATATCCTATAGCTGCCTGGTGAAGTGGAGCCAAAGGGAACACCAGGACTGTGATGATCTCCATAGTGTACTTCTTGGCTAATGCATTATCTCAGGGCTGACATAGGGGACCCAGGTTCTAAACCCAGAATCATAAGATTGTCTGCCTCTGGATATCCATTGAAACCCCCAGTCTCTTAATAACTTTTACCTACTTTCTGTGTGTTTATATGTATCCTTTGAGCCCACACACTGGTACATTAATTATTGGAGTTAGTTACCCTGTCTCTACTTTAGGTGACATTTATAGAGCCAAGCACATAGTAGTGCTTAGTAAACATTTGTTGGATTAAAGAATAACAGGTCAAGATCAGATGTGTGAAAGAGGGGGCTGATTGGTGAACCTTCTGTCAGTTTTACCTCTGTGGCTCTGGGCCCGGGACTCTGGAATCTACCCTCATTCTCCTCTTTCTCCCAGGCTCTTCCCTGATCATCTGTTTGCTTGCCTCATAGAATGTGCTCACTCTGTAGAGCCTGGGTGGGAACCCCTCACAGGAAGCTGAGGCCATAGGATGCTGGCTGTTTATGAGCAGCCCTGTGGGCAGAGTCAGATTAGATCTAGGTCATCTCACGTTTCCACTGGGTCCCCAGGGCTGCTGCCATATCAGAACATCCAGGAGGCTGTAGAAGTACAGATTCCAGGCCATTCACTGACCAAGCGTGTCAATTTATAGTGGGCTTGGAGAGCTGTGTTTGAGATTGTCTGTGATCTAATCTTCATCCTGAGTTCTCAGAGTCCCTGTGTCACTGAGATCTGTTTTATATACTATAGGAAAATATGTTGAAAACCACATCAACTTACTAACTCAGGAGGCGTCACACGGTGCTCAGATCTGTCAGGAAACAAAGTGCAGAGACTATTAGACCCATATTAAAAATACAACTCAATTGTAGAGTTAGTTTATCATTCCAGGTGCTTCTGAGTGAAGGTAGGTTATAAATTAGGAACTTCTTATCTAAAAGGGCAAACGAGATGAAGTTTAAAGAACTTAAGTATAATTTTTTTGAGTATGATTTTGATGCTGATTTTCTTGTAATTAGCCAAGTATTTCCCAAGTCTTCTGCGTTATTGTATTTGTGTGTTGGAATGCTTTTTTATATTGTATTACATTGACAATGAAATTACATAGTCATAGGCAGTACCTTGAAGCTTCAACGTTCACTGTCATTTTGCCACTTGAAATCTTGCCACTGAGTTTGATGACTAAGACCTGGAATAAAGTGAGTATGCATTAAATATAATACCTTGATCTGGCTACTCAGCAAACATGCAACATCATAATCATGAGATGGCCAGCAGGCTCCCAGTTCAGGGCCAGAGTGAGGCCTGCTTGGCCTCATCCTTCTAGGCCAGAGTGCTTGCTTCATTTTCCCCTCAGGGGCTGAGTGCCTGGAGTGGCTGCTCACTTCTGGTGACAACCAAGCACTCAGAGTTTGGTAGCAGCTCATCCCATTCCACCCTATTCCTTGAAGTTCCTTCTCACAGCTCAGTTCCTATTCATTTCTCAGCACTTACCGATTCTCCATTAGCAATGTTCTCACCATTCCTTTTTATGGTAGTCCAGTAAACAATCTGAATGCTACTACTGTCTTGCTGGAAGTTGAAGACTGCCATGGTGATGATTGCTTCCATGTTATTTGACTGTGGGATAGAAATTGTCAGAGTGTGAAGAGGAAGAAGGACTACAGCTACACTCTCATGAGCAACTTGCATGTCATTCACAGCAGAGGACAGATTGATCCCCTAGTATGTGTTGATTACTTAGCTGGGTCTGGCAATGCTGTGACAGGCACACAGATGAGGCCAACTTCCTGATGTCTTTTATCTCATTTACTTCCTTGGAGGGATGAGGGGCATGTAGTGTGAAATGTTGCTTTTCTGTTCCTGTATGCCTTGTCAAATGTGAAGGCTATTTTTCTCTGTGGCCTTGTTACTCTAATAACATATTACATATTGGTCCAAACTGGGCCTGGCACATAGAAAGCATTCTTTGTTGTTCTTGTTATTATTTTTGTGATGCTGGGCCCATGTGTGCTAGGCAAGTGCTCTTCCACTGAACTATATCCCCAGCCCAGTCAACTACACTTGATGTTGTTACTTCCTTCCACCCCTTTTAGGACTAAGAGTGAGTGAACACTTAATGTGTAGATGAGCCCAGTACTATTGTTCCTTCTGAGTCCATTGATAAATGAATTCTCTCCTTTAGGCAGTCTGTAAAATGGGGATAAGAATACCTCTATTCAAGGGCTGTTGTGAGGTTAAAATGTTATTAATTATATTATGATGCCCATCTATATACCTGATACACAGATCGCACTCAAAAAGTGTTGCCAGGAGTAAAGGAACAAGACTGAAAGGGGGGGCTGATGCAGGAGCAAGTTTGAGGCTATCCTGGGTAACTTAGCAAAACCCTATCTCAAAAATTTTAAAAGGGCTGGGGGCATAGCTCAGTGTAACTATGAGACTATGAGACCCTGGCTTAATTGCCATGTACTAAAGAATTTTTTTTTCCTTTTTCCATTGATGGAATCGTCTGATTATTAAGGGAAAATGTGTGTCTAGGGCACTGATTAGATTGATCTCTGGAAGAACATTCAGAATCCATTTGCATCCCCACCTTCTCACTCCCAGAAGCTGGCAGACTTGGCTGACATGAGCAGAGCTGTGCCAGAGGCTGCATAGATAACACTTACTTTGACAGAGCTCAGCTTGGCACTGTGCTTGACAACTGTCTTAACCATCGTGCTGGACATAATTATGGAAACATTGGCACTTTTAGGATGTGGAGGGAGATGACCTCCAGGCACAGGGACTGGTCCTTTGTCAAGGAGGGCCTCAACCTGGAGAGAGAGAAACAGAAAAGTTAGTCAGTTTGGGAACAAAGACAAAGTCAGGGCCTTTGGAAGACTGGCTGCAAAGGTGAACGGCGAGCTGGCCTGATGGGTGTTGGGTTGGAGTGAGCGTGGCAGGGAGTGATAGTTGACTTCCTGGCTGTGTTGGGTCACCCTGCGGGGAGTGGTAGGTTTGTGGTGACTTGATAATGGTCCTGGTGCAGTGCAGTTTGGAGCAGCCAGATCTCTCATTTTCTAAGAGAAACCAAAGATACTTATTTTCCAGGCAACTTCCCCCACTTGTGGATTCCAGGAAGACATGTCTGCCTTCACAGTCCTTCTTTTTCCCTACACATTTTGCCAACCTAAGAGGCCCTGACTCCTTTCCTTCCCACCCTTAAAAGCCCGACTTGCCAAGAAATCATTTCCCAGATAGTTTAGCTTCCATCAGTCAGTCTCTTTTTTTGTATGCATTCTCTCCTCTGCTTTTAAAATGCAAACATCTTATGGTGGGAAAGTTGGAAAATTTAGGTAAGTGCAAAGAAACAGAAGCAATTACTACCTAACATCACTGATATTCCCATGTGTCTTTCTTGCATGGTTCATTTTTATTATACTTTGTAAAGTTAACAATACCTGCATAGCATTTCTTTACTTTTCTTTTTTTTTTTTTTTTTTTTTTTGGTACCAAGGATTGAACTCATGACTTCACGCTTACCAGGCAAGCACTTGAACTGCTGAGCTAATCCCCAGCCAGCATTTTTATACTATACCTACAAACTTTAAACATTTGGATTGATCTTTATTTAGTTTTTGTCTTTTGGAGGCAGGGTTTCCTATGCAGTTCAGGTTGGGCTTGAGCTCACTTTGTAGCCCATGCTGGCCTCGAACTTGCAGTAATCCTCCTGTCTCAGGATCTTATTCCTGAGATTACAGGTATGCATCACCATGCCTGGTTTGGATGGATTTTATCCTTAGCTTTGCTACTTCCTTTTAGTTTTTTTGAACCTCATCACAAATCATGTATTTTTTTTGTGTTTGTGTGCTTCAGTATCTGTACTTAAGTTGTTTCAGATAGACTTAGAGAAGTGAAGCTGGCTGTCTAAAATGTTGCCCCTTATCTGTACTTTTTTCCAATTTTGCTCTCCGTGGAGGTGCTGAGGGTGGCTGGGAAGAGTTGGCACTTTCTATTTTGTTGTGTGTTTTCTGCTGAGTGTCTAGACCTAGGCTGGACAGATCCTAAGGGTCAAGTCATAGCTGTCTTTGTTGGAATGCCTCTCAGGACACTGGACATGAAGGGAACAAAACACACAGCTGAGGCTGGGGGTTGGTCCTCAGATGTTGCTGTGAAAGCTTTGGAGATTGTGCCCTGGTTACAGGGTGGGGATGTGAGAGGGGTGATAGCTGATTTGTCCTGTTCTGATAGGTTTTATGGGGTCAGGTATGCCACCACCCTTTGCTTAGAAACTATCATAAGGACAAAGGACACTTACGCAGTAGAGGATTGAAAGGCCTTCTGGGGAGGTCCTTGAAGAACTTATTTGGAACTGGAATAAGCCAGTGGCTGCAGGGGAGAGGAGAGAGAGAAATAGAGAGAGCAGAGCCATTTCTAATAGCCATTGTGCCCTAACTCTGTGCCTGGCACTTCCCTCTCAACTGGTACCAGTGTGGATAGCTCCCATTCTCTGGGTTCCAAGCGGAAAGCCACCCTTGCTGGCTTCTGATCTGGAAGGGTGCTGTGGGAAGGAAGCCCACAGGATTTGACACATTTCTCATGTACCAGTAAATCCATGGAGAGAAAAAGATTTGCTGCTCTAGGACTTGGCAAATGATTTCCTGCTTCAACTGTCTTACATTTGCTAACCCACCATGTCCTGTCACCCCCATCTCTCAGCATCTGTATGGGAATTTTGAGGGATTTCTTGACCCTTAGACTCCCAGTGGAGAAGGCTGGGACTGCCTTTCAGACTAGCCAGGTATACACTTTGTGGGCTGGGGATTTAGGACTAGGGCTGGGGAGCTCCATGGACTCCTGAAATCTTTTTCCTTTTCCTTTCTTGGGGAGTAAGTTATAAAATCTAGAGAAAAATGATGAGCCGGGACCCTGCCTCTCCACTGCCACCACCCACTGGCCTGTCTCAAACAATGATAGCTGTCTCTCTACTGATCAGAGCAGGGCAAGGAGGTTGTTTGTACTCACAGTTTTTGCACTCATTGAAATCACTGAGAACAATCTCACAGGACTTTGAGTCGTTGACCTATGAAGTTATTAGCTGTTAGCTTTGCCAGGGAAATCCAGTTTGCCTCTTCTTAGCCCATCTTCTTTTTCTCCCCGTCTTTTCCCTCTTCTCTATCCTATTTTCTTGGCCTCCTTTTTGGCAAAGGTTATCTGTCTCTCCCCCGACCTAAGACATTACCAGACCTGCTTGTGGGCAAGTTGGGCCAGAGAGGCTGCTAGTCCCTTAGCATGGGGACTCCAGAAGGGCTGATGCTACTACATTCCTGAGCCTCTCCTAGCACGAGGTCCTTCTAAGGCAAGGGCTTCCCTGGGGATGGGGGCCTCCAAGAGAGCACTCTCCTATTTCCCAAGACTTACCTTCTTCTGTAGCTCTACTGACAACACTTTAGGGACGATGTCCTTCAAAGGCAGATCCATAGGAAGAGGCACAGTGTTTGTGATTCTAGGATAGATGCGTGTACAGAGCAGCGTGATTCTCGTGTTTCTAGATTTCTTTAAACATTGGGCAAAACTGACCCCTTGCTGAAACAGCCCCAATGATGTTCTGCTGCTTAATCTATGTGCATACCTGAGTCTTTTCATCTGCATTATTACCCCTTAAGGGTGATACAACATGCCTAACAAAATGACCAAAGCACAGGTGTCTGTCTAGCAACCCCTCTGGAGGAGCTCATTCTTCGGATAACTGTGCATGCTATTGGACAGACTTGTCTGCAGTTTGTTCATTGTGGTTAGTTAATAATCAACAAAGGATTGATTGACAAAAATATAGTGCATATTCATGAGGGAACACTGAGGAGTCAGAAAGAATGAAGTTATTCATATACTTGATGAAATATACTCCTAGTTTTTTTTTTCTAGTGGTGGAGCTAGCACACACCAGGCATGTGCTCTATTACCAAGCTATATCTCCAGCCAACATGTGGCTATTTTTCTTTTTTATGTAGAAAAATTAGAGTTCAGAAAGAGCCCGGATCCACTAGTTGCTTCCAAGGAGAATAGTAAGCCAGTTGGCAGGTATGGCTGGGAAAGAGTTTATTCTACAGCCTTAAAAAAAAAACCCCAGACGAATGTGCTGCTTATGCACAAAATAAAAATAAAAACCTGAAGTACAGTTGGCAGTCGGAATGCAGGGTGTATGAGAAAAGGCTATTCTGAGCTACAGTGGGTCATTTCTAGCAGAGACACTTCTCTGGGTCTGTGCTGAAACTACTGCATTAGACCTACTTATCTCTGAGAGTGGTAATGTGGGACATTCTGGCACAGAGACCACTTGATTCAGGAAATGAGAAAAATGGTCTTACGTCTCTAACATCCGAAGGCTCACTTTGTTGACATCAGTCTTTGTTTCCTCAGTAACAAGGCTGATGCATTGGCTGTTGTTTGTAGAAATAACAATTTTTAGAGATACCGTCAAGTGTACTTGAAATCCCACTAGGGTGATGATGGGTCCAGCCACACTGTGGAGAGCAAGATACAGGTGAAAGGAGTTGGCTTCAAGGTGAGGCACAGGTCAAACATTAAACATTTTGGGGATCAGCCTCACATATTTGTTAATGAACATATTTGTTAACAGGAGAGAGAAACAATAGCCTATCTCTTTTAGGCCTCATGCCCTGAGGCTGGCCAGTTTTTGGCCATAAGAGCCCAGAGCTGGGTTCAGGGTTGTCAGTCAATAAACATTTGACAGAAATCACTATCCTAGATAGCTTTAGGAGGTCATCTATTGATAGTACAAGGCCATTTGTAACAGGTTCACTTTTCGGTTGCTTTCTGTTTGAGTGACAGAATAAAAAGTCCACCAGGAAGCAGGGCCTGTCTTAAAGTGGGAGGTTTTAGAGAAGACCGATGACTCTTCCTGACACTGCATAAAGCAGTGCCACAGATACTGAGTCCGAAGGCAGCCTGTCTGGATGCAAACTCTCCCTGTCACTTCTGTGTTTTAGCTGTGTGACTATGAGCAAAGGTAACTGTCTTTGCCTGTCTGCAGTGATTTTCAGTCTGGAAGCAGCACTGCTTTTCGGGTGTGTTTGTGGAGAGGCTTTCATGAGATCCTAGCTAGTGTGGTACCTGGTATGTGCCAGGACAGTGACAGGTATCAGTGCTGCATGTCTTAGTCTGTAGAACCAGCTCTCCCCAGTGGAGAGGCTCCATCCTTCTGATGTCTTCCTATGTATCCACGGGTTACATTGTTAACATGTTCTTCCCTCACATGTTTATGCTTCTTGACAGAGACTACCTTTAGTCTTTCTTTTGGGCCCACTGTGGTGTCTGTCCCAGAGTAGCTTCTTAATTACACATCAGATGAATGAATGCATGCAGGGATGCTTAAATTTGTAGTTTTCTGAGGTCATTTCAGTCATCTCTTTCTCCAACCCACTAGAATACAGAATGGCTTGATTCTCCATGGAGCCAGAGTATACATTTCACATAAGGCCATGTAGATGTCATGGAGTGTGTTTTCTGCCATCATTACCTAAGTGTAAGCTTGTGCAGATTTCTCATTAGTGTCTTTGCTTACGCTGTCTGGGGCCTTTCTTCAAGTTTGGGCTGGGGATCAGGGTCAGCTGTGTATGTTAGCCTACTCCTCCCCCATACAGCTGTGCTCTGTATCCTCTTAACCTAGCTCTTGGACACTGCTCTTTTTTTCTTTTTCGGTACTGGGACTGGAACTTAGGACCTTGTACTTGCCAACCAGATGCTGTGCTGCTGAGCTATATCCCTGGCCTTGGACACTGATTTTTTTTTTTTTTTTTTGTGCTGGGCATTGAACTCATGACTTTGTGCTTGCCAGACAGGCACTTTATGCAGCTGAGCTAAATTCACAGCCCTGGACACTGGATTTTATAGCTCTGGTCCTGGGTGATCCAGAGAACTGTTGTGGAAACAGGCTTACTTACCCTTCTCCACCTATGGTGGCAATAGATGTGGCTTTGATATCAATCCCATCATCTGTCACATTTGAAGTCATATCCTTTGTTTCCACAGTTTCAACAATTAATCTGCAAAGTGGCACATTAAGAGTCAGTTCTGGCTCAAGAAATCACCTGGACTCTGGGAGAAATACCTTTGAAACAGCTAGTTAAATCTACCAAGCCATCCCATCATCCATTCCTTTGATCCCTTATTTCCCTTACCCACTGAGCTCTTTAAGCACACAAAAAAATCTTTTTAAATTTTGCTTTTAGGCAGGGTCTTACTTAGTAGTTCAGGCTGGCCTTGAACTCACTAATTGCCCAGGCTGGCTTCAAACCCATGGCCATCTTCCTGCCTCAGCCTCCTAAGTGCTGGGATGACAGGCATGTACCACCATACTCAGTTTAAATTCAAGAAGTCTTATTGGGTTGCTGGGTGTGGTGGTACATGTAATCCTAGCACTCTGGGAGGCAGGAGGACCTAAAATTTGAACCTAACTTAGTCAACTTTGTGACTTAGTGGGATCCTGTCTCTAAAACAAACAAACAAACAAACAAACAAACAAATGCACTTGGGATGTAGCTCTGTTTGAAGGTTCTGAGTTCAATCTTCAACACTGAAGAAACAAACAAACAGGTATTTCCCCCTGAGAGGGCTCAAGTATATTGCTTTGTGAAAGGGTGATTAATGGTTTCATTGGGATTGTTGGAGTTTGCTTTCAATAAGCAGATTTTTTTTTTGATGTGGAAAGCACTTACCCCAACAATAATTCTTTTAGATCAAGGTTTCCAAGTACACTTTTGAGTGTGTCAGTGGCTTCTGCTGGCAGGAGATCCTTCATTTTGTCCACAGTAGAATCTTTAAAGCTCTTAACGCCTTCAGCCACATCATTCAAGGATGAGCCATCAAGGGGATTAGTGCTATCAAGGAGCTCTTTTGTATCAGAGGACAGTAGGCCACCCAGACCCAACTTATCAGCAGCTTTACCAACACTGGGGAGGGATGGGAGCTTTGGAGATTCAGCATCCTTGCTGTCTGAACCTAGGATACCACCAATGCCGCCTTTTCCCATGTCTAGAAGTGAAGGGATGTCTATCAGGTCCATCAGGCCAGCGTTTTCCACCATGTCTAACATTGCCCCAAGCACTCCGATTATGTTAACCTCCTCACACTTCACCAGCTTCTCAATCTCCTGGGGTATGGTGACATTCAGATCTGAAAAAGATCAAGAGACAAGTTCCTGCTGTTTGCTGCCTACTCAGCTCAGCCAGCTGGGGAGCTGGTACTTTTGAATTGTGAGGCACATAGGAACTGTGTATTGTGCCTTCTGGAAAGATCCATCCTCGCTATTGCCCACTTCCAGGGCTGCCTTGTGTCCCATTGTTAAGTGCTCACTTTTGCCCCTACATGAGGCCAGCTGGGTATGGAGTATGTAACATCTAAAGTGATTTGAGCATGATGTGAAGGAACCTAGATTGGGTTTTAAGCTTTGCAGTCCAGGACACAATGTCAACCTGTATCCTTCAGCAGCTGAGTGGCATAGGCCAGGGTCTTTGTGGTCTTGGAGCCCAGTCTTTGCACCAGTCCAGGAGCTAATAGCAGGAACTGCTGCATGGACTGCAGGTGGAGGACGAATGAGATGGTGGATTGTAAATGGGAGGAGGATTGTATGGAAGGAGGCAGCTGGGGAGATGATCATAGATCTAATACTTCTGGACCCTTTCCTTCTCCTTCCTTGTGATATTACCCAAGTCTTTTTTTTTTTCTTTTTTTTGTCTTTCTCATTTTTATCGGTACCAGGGATCGAACTCACGATTGCCTGCTTGCAAGGCAGGCGCTTATGCCGCTAAGCTAAATCTCTAGCCCCCATTACCCAAGTCTTTTCCCTTGCTGGGCCTCATTTTCTCCTTGTGGGTCATTGGTAAGCGCTGTCACCTGGACAAACTGCCAGGAGTCCTGTCCTCCACCCCCATGAGCTCACATTCTCCCACTCATTGATCTCTTTAGGCCAGAAAGGGTGCTAATCATGTGTTTCCTTCCCCATGGGCCATGTCTAGCTGGGAGAGGTAGAGTCCCAGATGCTTGTGAGAACAGACGAGGACAGTCCTCAGTTTAAGAGAGCTGCTGAGGCACCGGGGTTCTATCTTACTGTGCTGTTTTTGGTGGCCTTAGTAGAAATTGAAGGAAAAGAAGTATGAAATCTGGATGATAGTCAGCCTTGCTGGCCTTGGGCTGAAGTGCATTGGAGAGAGAGGGACTACATTTATTGCCCAGCTGAAGAGCCGTTGGAGGAGGTTCCCTAACAGCAGCTCAGTGGGTCCTGGGTACAGCAGCCTTAATGCTGCTTCTCTTGCTGGGAACTCTACATTCAAAAGAGTCTGCTTGTGTGGGGTGGGGTGGTTATATCTTAATCCCAGGCTTATACCAGAGGCAAGGTGTTGCCCACACATCAGGAAACCTTCACTGGCCTATGTATTGGATTCAGAGCAGCATTGCTTACAGTAGGAAAAAATTAGAAAGAATCCACAATTAAATAGACATATAAACCATAGCGGATTCATCAGCAGAACAGAGTTTTAAAAATGGATGGGCAGAGCTTTCTTACTAAAACATGGATGAATTACCTCGCAAACATACCCTTGAGGGACATCAGGCCACCTGTTCTGGAAACTTTAGAATATGTAGTACAATCTTTTATATTAATGGGGAATATTTATATATTGGAAATGGGAGCATAGCTCAGGGGCCTAGTATGCACCTCATATGCCCCAAGCCCTAGATTTGATCTCCAGTATTGCCAAACAACAATGACACCACCACCACCACTATATATGTATATCTATGTATTTATATATCTATGTATTTGTGTATAGGTACATCTGTATATCTCTGTCTCTTTCTGTGTCTCTCCTTCTCCCTCTGTCTGTCTGTCTGTCTCTGTCTCTGTCTCTCTCTCCTCTGGGTGGGTCAAAGGGGCAAAGAAAAAGGATGATGCAGCCTGGGAGTGGACAGGGCCTCCATGGTTAGGTTTATTCCTTAATCTGTGTTGGGTTGTGAGTGTTTCTCTCTATCCTTTAACATTTTTCTAAACATCTGAAAGAGCAATTAACAGCCACCATCACCAAATCACTGCATGATATATACCCAGGTGTTCTTTTATCCCTTTCCTACACTGGAAGTATTTTGTAACAAGGAAGGATGGTGCCAAGAGCCGAGCACATGTGCCTCAAGAGGCAGAGGAGTGGCTAAGGGACATGTTGGTCTTGTCCCTGGTCACATAATAGGCTCTATGTTCCTTTCTGTCAGCCTGTCCTAGGCTGTGGCTACATCTGTTGCTGAGTGAGCTGTGAGGGTTTTTCTGCTGGTTTTTAATTGTCAGTGAATCCTTCCCTTTTCCAGTTTCCCAAACAGAGTCACTTTTTTTGGTCAAATGTTCAGTTCCCAAGTTCCTGTACTCTCAGTCCAGGATTGGGGCCCAGGCATCCCTTCTCTCTTCAAGCTCCCGAGGCATGCTGGGGCCTCCTTGTGTCTGGTAACCACTCGTTCTAAAGATGGGACCAGCCCATTGAGCTTAGGAATAAAAACCCTGTGCAGAGGGTATCAGGACCACAGGTGTGCAGGCAAAGCCATTCTACTTACATTTGTTGAGTTTCTCAGCAGACAGGAAGTACTGGGAGGCAGGTGCACACTGGCCTCCTGGGGCCTCAGGTGGCTGTTTGCTGGGTGGAGAGCTGTTCTGGGTTGGGGAACTTCTGAAAAACCGTTTGAGTTGCACGGGTAAAGGAGGAGGTTCTACAGAGAGCGGTGCAGGAAGACTCTTTACTAGGGACAAAGGTAACTGTTCAAGTGCTCCAGCTTGTGTGACCAGCATGGTGGCCAGGGCCCAGAATGTCCACATGGTGATGGCTGACACCTGAAAGGAAGTCTTCATCAGATCACGTTCACCATGAATACATGCTGAAGGGCCAGCATGTATGCTTGGGTGGAATAGCTTCCCAGCTGTTAAAGGAGGTCGCCATTTACAGGCAGACACTCGAGTCCCAATACTGTGTTCACAGAACCATGTTTCACCACATAGAAACTATTGTCATAAGGGAAGAGCTCTTTCCTACTTTCATTCTGACTTTGCAGGAAAGTCCTCTAAGCACTGGTTGCAGCATTGAGATACGGGCCATGACCTGCCCAGTGGCCTGATCTCTTTGGTCCCACATCCCCCTGCCATCTCCCTCATCAAGTATCCTCTGCACTGTCTTAGTCACTACCTGGGAATCTGGAAAGCTTACAGTTCTACAGCAACAATCTCAGGTGTACTTTTTTACTGGTGTGAGTCAGTCTAGGGGAGACTCAACTCCAGGGGTGGGGAAGGGGCACATCCGGGAGGCAGTCTCTGATAGCCACTGGGCCTCCTGGTTCATTGTGTTTCTCTTCTTCAACTTTTGGAGGTGGTGCAGTCACTGCATCCCACTAATATCTGTCTAGTGAGCCAGTTTACTAGGTATTGGTCAAGTGCTCTAAGCCCTATGTGATTCTGCAAGACACTCGAGGCATTAACTTATATTATTCTATTTCCACCTCGGGTCTTAGTGGGGCGGGGGGTAAAAGCTCAATAAACCCCTTGGTTTGTGAGATGTGCTGGTGACTCGTGGAGATCGTGTCCCACCTCTCATCACAATCTCCTAGTTCTCCTCTACAGTTAGAATAGTGAGAAGGCTTGAGTATGTAATGTTTTCTTGAAAGAAAGGAATTCTCTCTGGAGTTCTTCACTGGTTTTTTCTTTTCTTTTTTTGTGACTGAATCTCACCATGTAGTTCAGGCTGGCATTGAACTTGCTTATATAGCCCAGGCTGGCCTCAAACTTACAGTGATCCTCCTGCCTCAGCTACCTAAGTGCTGAGATTAAAGGCATACACCACTATGCTTGGTTCCTGTTTGCCTTTTTTTCTTTTTTGGGAAGGGATAGAGTGGGTACTGGGAATCAAACTCAGTACCTCATGTTTACCAGGCAGGTGCTGTGCCACTGAACTAAATTCTGGGCCCTGTTTGCTTTCCTAATCAATCAAGTTTTATGAAATTGGGGTTGTGGGATCTTTGCTTTTGCCTTTGTGAAAGTTGTCGGAATCAACATGACGTCATTTTGGTCAGGCTGTAAACTCAAGTGCATAAAGCTGTGAGAGGTTATCAAAGAGGGAATCTCATAAATGTATGTCTGATAACAAGAAATTGTCATAATCTTACAAGAAATTGTCATAATCTTACAACGGCTGCTACAACTTTACAATAAAGATACTTCAAAGTGTGCCATGGTGGCACACATCTGCAAATCCATACTCTGGGGGGCTGAGGTGGGAGGATTGTGAGTTCAAGCCCAGCTTGGGCAGCTTTGTGACTCAAAACCGAAAATAAAAACAGGCTAGGGATATAGCTCAATGTAAAGACCCTAGGTTTAATCCCCACTAACCTCTCCTTCAAAAAAAGAAAAATCTGCAAGGATATATGTCTAGCAGTTGTCCAACCCTGGACTGTAGTCACTTCATTATTGATTGCTACTTCAAAGCATTTTATGTAATCTTCTTCTGTTTGCTTTTGCAAACAGCTCCTCAGCCAAGTATGCTGCACATACCTGTGGGAAGCTGAAGCAGGAGGATTACCACAAGTTTGAAGTCAGCCTGGGCTACATAAATGAGTTCAAGCCAGCCTGGACTATATAGTGACACTATATGTCTGTGACTCTGTCCCAGACAAAACTACCCTTCCAAATAAATAAAAGCTGGGTAGAATGCTATACATGGCATTGGCCAAGGGGCATCACGAGACTGTAAACTCAGGAACCCCGGTTGTAAGTCCTTACTTGAACTGCCCTATGCCTGTGCCCACCTCAGAGCTTCCACCTTTTCCTCACACATATGCTGCAGTAAGTTCTTACCTTGCCCAGTGTTGATGGTCAAAGTTCTCAGGAGCTGCTGCTCTTCCTGCTGTTGTCTCTGAAGTACTGATGACAGAGTCGCATCCATTTTATAGACCAGAGTCTCTTGGGAAAGTCATCAGAGGAAATGTGACATGATCCAGGTATACTGATAAGAGGGGCGTAGTGCAGGATGCCTTCCAAAGTCAGCACCTGTTCATTGTTGTGACACGGTGTCACCTCAAGAGGTGTTCGGAGTATTTGGAGCTTCTTGGAAGGGGCAGGCAGGCTTCGCATTTATCCCCTTCTCAGTTTACACCTTTGTGTGTGTGTGTGTGTGTGTGTGTGTGTGTGTGTGTGTGTGTGTGTGTATAGTATTGAGGATCAAATCCAGGCAGTGCTGAGAAATATTCCCAGTCCTTATTATTTTTAAAATCTTGAGACAGCATCTATGCTGCCCACACTGGCCTTGAAATTGTGATTCTCCTGCCTTAGCCTTCCGAGTAGCTGGGATCACAGTTGTGCATTACCATACTTATTTTATACCTTCACATGCCTGGTATCTTAGAACTATGAAGGTGCTGAGTGAATATAGCAGGAGGAAGACTGGAAGCCCTTTAGGTGCTTGCCTGGTACCCAGGGCATAGTGACACTCAACCCCAGGTGAGGATCCATGATAGAAGTGTGGGTCCCTGAGGACCGGGTGGTAAGGTGTCTCTAGTATGAGTGATATGAAGCATGTAGCAGTGCTAGCAGATCTAGGGGGCCTGGAATGTACAGACAGCTGAGTGAGGAAGCAGACCAAGGATGGAGGCCTCGGGGTGTTCACCCTGGGAGTTAGATCACTGACTGAGCCCCAGTTCTCTTCCCTAGTGCCTTTGGAAGAAACATGAATGGTGTCAGTGGCCTGCTGTGGTCCTCATTTGTAGGAATAGTATAGTGGTAGAGCATTTGCCTGGCATTATGGGGCTCTAAATCAAACCCCATTGTCAGTGAGGGGAAAGAAAGAAGGAAGCAAAAAAGGAAGAAAAAGAAAAGAAATTCCAATCTCATGTCCACCTGCTATCTCACTCTCACCTGCTATTTCATTTAATGGCTTCCAAGTGCTAGGAAGGGCCTCAGGTTTCCTTCTATTTCCAGAGAAGCCCACTAGGTTCCTACAGCTAGGAGCTTTGTGACATTTTCCTGTGCACGCTGTCTGCGGCTTGTGCTGATTCTGCTAAGCGGTGGCCAGTGCCTGCTTCGGCCCTGTTGGGGCTGTGCCTTTGGGCAGGCTCCCCATGTTGGGTGCAGGGAGCTCTCCAGCTCCACTGGGGGTCTCAAACTCTGATGTCAACTGAAGTTCTCTTTGCCAAAGAGCCCATTTGGGCATTACTGAAATGTCAGATATGAGGAACAAATGATAGCTGACCTTTTTTCAGAGGGCAGAACTTAGAGTTTCACACAGGATGATCAACAGAAGACAAAACCCAACTGTCCAAGGTTTTATTTTTCTTGGACATTTGAGGGAACCTGAGTCATCTTTGAGATGAAATATGTGCCATCAAGGGTGGATATATCCTTTGATGTGCCCAAAGGAAGAACTCAACTCCAGGGGTGGGGAAGGGGCACATCCGGGAGGCAGTCTCTGATAGCCACTGGGCCTCCTGGTTCATTGTGTTTCTCTTCTTCAACTTTTGGAGGTGGTGCAGTCACTGCATCCCACTAATCCAAGATGTATGTGGAGTGTGTCATGCCAGTTGGCTTATCAGGCTGGAGCAAAGGCCTAACAAAGACCCGCTTATAACTTGAGCATTAAGTGATTTGGCCTGCTCACTCAAGGCTGGCCCGGGGTTGGCTGGGATCACAATTGTCAGTGATAAGGTAGGTGCCAATTCTTAATGGCCTCTTTGTGGCGAGATCATAATAGACTGGGTTGAGCCCAACTTGTCCTGTTGTCAGACATATCAAGATTTTGACCTCTTCTCGGTATTTCTTTAGTCACTCAAACGCAATGCACACACTTGGGGACATGTTCATCCTCTTGTCTTTTTATGTACTTGTCTATGTTTGGTCACCTGGAACACAAAGGTTGCATTCAGCATTCATTTTTCTGTGGTGCAATTAATGTCAGATCTTTGGCTGTCACAGGTCACAGGGTCTCTTATAGGGACTTTATTTTCCTAGACCCGCTGGAGTTGCATGTAAAATTTGGTGTTAACATTCACTTCTACAGAAATACCTTTAATGAAATATTTTTTCTCCCTGTCTCTGTCTCTGTCTCTGTTTCTCTGTCTCTTTCTTGCAGTACTAGGAATGGAACTCTGAGCCTTTGCCATGAGCTATATCCCAGCTCTTTTTTAACTTTTAGCTTTGAAATGGGGGTCTTGCTAAATTGACCAGGCTGGGCTTGAACTTGTGATTTTCCTGCCTCACCTGCCTGGAATGCTGGGTTTACAATCATTTGTCACCACAATCATCTGACCCCTTTAATCAGATTACTGAAATTCTTGATTGACCTTATGATTTATAAAAGGTGGAAACCAACGGTTTAGGCGAAAGCAGATTTTCTGTTCACAGACTTTGGAGCCAGACAGACCTGGATATGAATTTTGATTTAACTCTATACTGCTGTATGGCCTTGTAATGTTATCCAAATTTTCTGCCTTGGTTTCTTCATCTACAGAGTGGGGATAATATGGTACCTATCATAAGGTTTCCATGGGGATTAGACAAGTTGAAATATGTCAAGTAATTAAGTCCCATGCCAGCATAGGTGAGTATTCTTAGTTTACTATCATTTCATCCTCATTTACCATTCCATTAGATATTTTCAGGGTTTTTTCCCTCCCACTTTTCCCTCTCAGATTTACCTATCAATTTAGCATATCTAGATTTTTACAACTATTCATTTCTTTTTTGCATCAATTAAGTATGATCTGAGGGCTACTTTTCTTACACAAAGCAAAATGGATCCTTTATCATTCTTTGATCAGAAGTCAAGCAAATGGAGAATAGTCTTCATCTCATTCTCAAGTTTCACTTCATGGAAGGACACAAGTTTCTTTTCTTTTTTTTGTCCTTTTGAGTCAGGGTTTCACAATGCAGGTCAGCTGGCCTTGAACTCACTTTCTAGCCCAGGGTGGCTTCAAACTTGCAGTAATTCTCCTGCCTCAACCTCCTGAGTGCTGGGATTACATGCCACCATGCCCAGCAAAGACAATTTTCTTGACATGTACCAAAACTCTGCATGAACCAACCTTGCTGGAAAAGCAGAAGAGGTTTCCAAAGCCCAAGTATCTGTTCTAAGACTTGCAGATGTTTCTGGTTTGACTCTGCTTCTTTTCCATCCAGGTACACACAGATGTTGATATCCAGTGTTAGGCCAGTGATTTCTACTTTGTAAGTCAAAGTTGGACATGTCTCCATCAAATGGAACTTTTAATTCTTTTCCTGAGAAGGAATGATGCCCAGATGTGCGTGAACCTGAGGTACCCCCTTGCATCTTCTTGTCCCACTGGTCTCTGAGATTCCTGAGAGCCAGGCATGGCCCGTTCTTCTCATCCATCCATTTTCATGGTTCAGCAAAAGAACAAATGAATGTTTTACCAGCCACTGAGGATCAGTGCTCAGCTATGTCTGCTCACTGCTGACCAAATCAAAAGAAGTCATACATTTGGGTGAAAGGGAAAAGGATTTATGGAAAGCTAGCTCCAAGGAGATGGAGGGGTCTATTTGCCTAAAATTACCACCTCCCCAATTACAGATGGGTGAAGGTCTCTTATGGTAAGGAATGGAGGGGAAGGAGAGCACAGAGAGACAGTGCAAATCTTTACACTCGTTAGATCATTTCTAGCCATCTCTAGCTCATCTTCTTTCTTGTGGAAAAGAAACCAGGCTCCTGGCCTCCTCGGGCTGACAACTGCAGCTTCTGTTACTTCTTTCGAACTGAGGAAAGGAAGAGGTGTCAGTTATGTGTTTAGCAGGACAAAGTTTGGAGATGTGGTTTACCTTTAAAAGAAAAAGTCAAGCTTTTTAAAAAAAGAGACAGGGTCTCACTATGCAGGCTGGGCTTGAGCTCACTTTGTAGCCCAGCTGATCTCAAACTTGCAAGGATCCCCCCCTCCTATGCCTCCACGCCTGGCCTTAGATTTCAAAAGTTCCATTTGGCAGTGCCAGTTATAAGTGAATGAATGCACCAACCTCCCCAAGTCTCAGTTTCTGTCTGACAAATAGGCTCACGTTCCTCATCTGCTTCTCCTTGAGGGAATCACACAAAACAGCAGCTCCGAGGATGTAAGGTGACGGCCTGTGTGACACAAGGGTTCCTTTTGCCGTCAGCCCTCCTTTCCTCTCCTCTTCAATGGTACTGGGTAGCAATTCAAGTTCCCCTGGTGATTAGTGGAGACAGCTCAGAGGGAATCCCTGACATCTCACAATAAAACAGATGGCCCTCATTCTCCCCTCTCCAAGCTTGGGTTGTCTGGCTCTGCAGCTGGGCTCCATCTTTTTTCTTGTAGAACATATGACATAATCCACCTGATGTCATTGTCCTTAAGACAATGGCTCACCACTGCACAGACAATAACATGCATATTTTTTGGCCATAGCTTATGAGCCTGGTGTGGTTTGAGCCCAGCCTGGCTCTCTAGCTCCATTTGCTAATCTATAACTGCACTGGCTTTCATTTTTGTTTCTCAGCTGTACTCAATTTGTTCATATCTCAGGACCTTTGCACATTCTATTTTCACTGTTTGAAACCCTTTCATGCATATTTTTCTCACATTATCCTGCAGGTCTCAGCTCATCTATATTTTCTTATGGAAGCCTTCTCTGGCCACTTCCTCCAAATCAAGCTGTGCTTTCCTACTGTGTTCTCCTCCAGGTACCCTGGAGTTTTCTTTCTCAGCTCTTACTGGAATTTGTAGTCACGTGTCTTCTTTTTGGTTGAATTGTTTCATGTCATCTCCCTCTCATGCTTCGTGAGGGTAGATGCCATTTTTGCTTTGTCTCTTCATGTGGCACAGAGTAAATGCTTGATGTGTATTTATTGAATGAATAAGAACTGCTTTTTCTCTACTGTTAAAGATCCACCATGTTTAACACAAAAAGTTTGGAGAATATTTTAAG